GGATATCCCGGGATTGAGACGTATAATCCAGGGATACTTCGGGATTAAGTAAAAGATAGAAACAATTTGCACGACAATAAAATCACGTATTTATTCCATGTAATATCGACGAAGAAATATCAGAACATCTAGGGCAGTGCTCTTCAAGAGGGGTTCCGCAACACATGCAGTGGGGTTCCGTGAGTTTATAGGGATCTTTAGGGGTTCCGCGTAAAAGGAAAATTGACTGCTGGGCCAGTAAAGTTGCAAAAAATGATTATTCTTTTTTTCCGTTTTTGGATGAATTTTTAAGTTCGCAACAGCAAGAAGGACTCCTAGATATCCGTAATGAGGTTCCATTACATTTGAACCCACGTACATTTGAACCCATGACAATTGCACCTGTATGCTATTGCACCTATGGAATTTTTTTTGTTTCACGGATAGTTAAACCCATACTAACCCTAACCCATGGGTTTTAGCACCCGCATATAGATTGAACCCGTGGATATACGCATGGGTTCAAATGTACATGGGTTCAAATGTACGGTCACCCCGTAATGATATTAATGCGGAGGAAACCTTTGAAAACACGGAAAGGAATATTTTTGGATTTCTCTTCACAAAGAGGGTACTGCAATTGCAAAAGAAGCATTAAAACTTTAATTTCCCAATACCTATTTGTGTAAATCAGCATTTTCTGCTTCAACAACTATTAAAAAACAAAAAAGAAGTTTAGAGTGTAGACATGAGTAGGTGAATTGCATAGAGCGCCGTGGAGCCAGAAGATTGCAACGGAAATGCTAGAACAACCTAGTCATTGAAGTTCACGCTTGTTATCTTCTTTCTGTTTCGTTGTCGAAGTAGAAATATTTGAAGTACAAATATTACGTGTTACGAGTATTTCGTGTTTTATTTTTGTTATTTGGGGTTCCATGAAAAACAAAAAATGATATAAGGGGTTCCGCAATAGCAAAAAGGTTGAAGAGCACTGATCTAGGGCAGTGGTTCCCTAACCTTTTTTTTATATCGCAGTACACTATTTAGCTCTTTAAATATTCGCGGCACGCCAATCACAAAACACGAACATTTTCCACCCATAAAGAGTGCGATAGTCGAACGCGAACCACTGGTTAATATTTACCGAAATTAGAACTGTTTTTTTACATTGTAAACGAGAGCATCTTCGGAGCACTTCACATTATTGTAAAAGTTGCGACGGCCGCACGGGTAATACGTGGTGTTCAAACGCACCGCTGATCACGCGCTTCATTTGCTCGCCCTTCCTCATTTCCACGTTACGCCCTTATTATTATCGCTTATATTCTTAGTTTTCACAACCTAATTCATTTTTGTTACAATTCAATATGTTTCTCCCATTGCCAAAATCATTCAATAGTGTTATTGTCGATAGTTACGTGAGAAATGAAAGTGGCAAACAAACTGTATTTCATTACAACAATTAATTATTATCGCTAAAAACACTAAATCGGTTTAAAGTATTTATAAACAATTTTCACAGCTGGAGGTATCTTTTCACGTTAAGAATTTCGTGCAAGGCCCGAGCATAATTTGATGGCAAAGATCACAGCATTTACTATGTCGTAACGCTTATTCGACTTTTCAGACCGCAGAAGCTATCCGAAAAAAAAACGAGTTCGAGATATAAAATAATCGTCAATTCCACCATGCTTTTGTGAAGTAGAGCAATTTACTAAATTTATGAAAGTTTTATTAAGTTTCATTGCATCGATGTTTGGACTACAACGCGTTTCGTCATATTACTGGCGTGATTACAGATCGCAAAGGAGGTCAAAATAGTATATTTTCATCGAATCGAATAATTTTGAAGAATTGTCGAATATCAGGTTGAATTCGGGATCTTAATCCGATTTTTAACTTTTGAGTTGGATTTGATCTTTCTTGTCACTGTTTGTAAATTAACTGTCATGATTTTAAGCTAAAAATATCATCATTTCTGACCCTCGAATGCGGATATTTATGAAGACGATAGCTGACCTTCCTGATTTTACTTTTTAAAAGTATATGGCTGTTTTATTTTTGTATTAAATAGTGAATAAAAATCCTGCAAAGTCATTGTCTGAATCTTGAATGCTATTTTGGGTTCACATTATGATTAAATAAGACGGCAATAATGACAATTCTACTACTCAAATGATAATTCCTTGGTACAATTTGAGAAAAACTTCGCACAATAATTCCACTTCCACTCAAACTGTAAGCGTGGATGGCTTTTTTTCAAAATAAGTATTAAATAAAATGGTGTAACCTACCATTTGTGAGAATATCTATATGTAGATAACAAAGCGAAATAATTGCGGGATCGGGATTGAGAAAAACAGTCCAAATCCCGGGATTTCGGGATCGGGGTTTCCCGGGGTCCCAATCCTAGTGTCAGGGCGTCCACAGCCTAACCCAGAACGTATCATTAATTCTATCAGCCATTACCTCGCTTCAAATTAATTTCTCTCGAAAAGGGTTCCGGTAAAAGTTCACGCTCATTAACTCAATCAATTTTATTTGGTCACTCTGATACAAACAAAAAACAAAACAACAACAAAGGGACAAACAAAATACAGAGGACCTGGAGGACGGGCATAACTTAATAAAAAAGTTAAATACGTACAAGTACGTGCCCGTCCCCCAACAGTCAAAACACAACAAAAACACGATGTAACATCGGGCAACAACTTATAAATTCAAATTAAAATGTGAGACGTGTATGTGCTTTTCCTATACAGATATATGGATTAAAACACTCGCTGACGAAAAATGGTGATGTTGTGGGCCTAGTTCAATTTCATTGCAAAAATAATACAGTGACAAATTTTTTTTACTAAAAAACAAGCTTGGTAAATGGATTGAATGTTCCATAGCAGTCTATGCACAAATCATGGATTGGGGTGTTGGGTTCTTTTGTCGTTTTCGATTAGTTCAGTTTAAAATTATTGTATCCGTTCCAATGCTTCCAACATTAATATTGAATTTCCACGAACGACCACCATTCAGCCATTCCAACATGTGCAGTGGTCCCACCTTTTCTACGCTCTGTTCCATCATCCACGACTAGATTCATAAGAGGATCGAAACCTCGTAATATACCCGTGACAGATCGTCCACCATTTAACTTTAAATCCAATCTTTTATCCATAAACTTCTTTAATTCCAGTGAATGGGCTTTGCTCATGTTGATATTACGCGATACAGATACCGAAACATACAACGCGTAGCATTCACTAGTCTTTTCTAGCTGACACGTCCGCACCCGACGACGGTCGGGAACGGAAACCTCAGAAGTGAAGGAAACCTCAGAAGTGAAGGAGACTCATATTTTAACAAAGCTATAGGAATACGCTCGCTATTGACCTCTGATTACCCTGCACGGGTTCGAATCCCTCGCGGGGATAGTTGTGTGCTCAAAATTACTTTATTTGTTGACTCGGGTGTGTTTGCTGATTTGTATTAAAAAAATATCCGAATTGTGGCAACAAGGCGGTAATTGAAATATCGCCTTGTCCGTCAGAACTTATAGATAATGTCATATTCGAACCTTTTCGAAGTTTTTTCTCGGTTTGGGATGAAGCGGATTCCTTATGTGGTCACAATGGGCCAGCGCTAGGTGTAAATCAACAGAAACTTGACTACATACTGTATAACTTCGCGGCACGCAAGGCTCGCGAAGTAGTTACTTTAATCTTGATTTTGTACTCAGTTAACGTAATAAGATTTTGTGACGAATTTATTTTTTATATCACAAAACCTCCAGTTATTATTCCTATCACTACCCAGGCTGGGTGTCGCCCGACATGTGCAATAGTTGCATATTACACAATAGTTAAGGACGGCCCTGATAGCATATATACTCCCATCACAACGCAATATACTTATTTCAACTACGCAATTCAAGTCTTGCTGCACAGTGCACACTAACACAAATGTACTTCTGTAAGGTTTCGTCTGAACAAAACCAGACTTCCTCAAACTAACAATCTACAGCAGGGGTCGGCAACCTACGGCCCGCGGAGCAATATAATCCGGCCCGCGACGCTTCACTGAATTATAGTAACAAATTATAGCTGTTTCGTCGATTATATTCTTTACGCAAAAGAATTTACATGTAGACTAAATTATATTATAACGTAACAAGTATATAATTCACAATTACTCGTTTAATGAGGCTATAATTTGGACAAATGACAACAAAACGCTGAAAAGTTGATGCTAAGTGCAAATGGATTAAGGGCGAAAAAAATATTCCAATGGTCAGTCTTCACGCACTGCTTAAAATTTAACTTCTGATCTGTGTGATAAAATGTGATTCATCGGTCATCCATTTGATTTTTACCATTCTAAAAATATGTGCGGCCCACCAATGAATTGCAACTTTTAATTTTGGCCCGCGAGCGACAAAAGGTTGCCGACCCCTGATCTACAGTTATGGACCTTTCCCCGACCTTTGACTCCAGAAATTTTTTTCCTATACTTTACCATTGCAAAATTTTCGGGGCCATTTTAAGAGTGCTTTTGCGAGTTGGCGCCTGTAAAATGGGGTATGTGTTTCAAACCATCATTATGATTCATCGCATACAACAATCATTTTTTTAAAAGTACCGGTAAATAATTTTAGCCCAGTCTATCACAGCTATTTCTACATTAATTTTTATTACTGCAATTAAATTGAAACTCCTAAGAAGACAGACTGATCATTGAATTATCTGATTTATATTTAAGTTTCCGAAACGCAACTGAAAACTAACGAATAGAGTTCAAAAATGTAATGTTTACGACCACGATTGAAAATCTGTCTGAGTGAGAAAAGTATCTGAGCGGATGCGAAAAAGGAGCATTGTTACGTCACTTTTCCATCTTGGTGATTGGCCACTGTCACGAAGTAAACAAGGAAGTCGATGCTGGGGAAAGGTCCACTGAATTGCATAGTATGGTATTTTTATTCCTGCTACAGCATCCTTGCATTATACGCATAAGGATCCACTAGCGCCAAGGCATTGAAAAAGGATTAGGAGTTAAGTCTGGCGTAACCTCTACGGATGCTTATTTAAAATCACGAAAACAGCTAGAAATCATACCACATTCGGGTGCGGGTCTTCAGCTAATCTAGACATTATCGTCCACTCTGTGTTCGCCCTGAACTTGCGCTTCGACGAAACAAACGACGTGTCAAGGATCTTGATCGCCACCTGAAAAAACAAATATATGCTGATACAATTTAGATTTAGAGCTTTTATACCTTATCGGCTTATACAAAACCAAGTATTGCCTTGTTATTGCTTTAGGTTATTGCCGATATGTTTTTTGGACACGTCAGTGTACATAACGATCGTTTCAATATTATGTTGTTGTTCTTGTTATTGGACACGTAGTGGACATAACGATCGTTTCAATATTATGTTGTTGTTGTTGTTCTTGTTCTTTGACACGTTTTTAAAAAGTCGCTTTTCTCTTCGAATACTGGACCAATTGCTTTGAAATTTTCAGTGGTTGAAGATAAAATTTTTCTCCAGAGTTATTACGGTACGTACCGGTACAGCTGTACAGGTACGATATCGGTAGACTAGTACAGTATTACTGTACTAGTTGCATTAATTATATTTGTTTAGAGTGTGTGCCTGCATTGAAATTAAGTTTTTGTAATGAGCCAGCATGTCTGCACAGCTGCTATGCCTTTCTGATATTTTGCTGTTTCGTTACATTTTTTTGGAAACAACATTTGCATAAATACGTATGGTACCGTATGCAAAGGAAGGAACTTCACAAAAATTTCAACATGTGCACCAGGTTAGTGTACATAAATCAGTAAATACAGAAATATGCAGAGGAAGAGACTTTACAAAAAGGATAAGAATTACATAATTATCCCGATGGAGAGGAAAGCCTATACAACGGCTTAACCATATTGCGAACCACAGCCTCTTGTCTGGTTACCGGTAAAGTACCATTCCAAGTCTGGTATGGCTGTATGGGATTAGTTAGTTCAGTAGTTATATTGTTCAGTTTTATCAATATAAATTGATCGATAGCCTACTCACCTATTTTAAAAATCAAATTGTTGCAATTTGCAGATGTGAGAATGAAATATATGACCACTGTACAGTCAATGACGTAGGTATGTGCCAAATCATATCAAGTTTATTTACATGTTTACTCTTACAGCATTTGCAGTCAAATTAACTTATTCCATTTTTGTACGCTTGCACAGCTGCAATGTTTATGCCATCTTTTAGCCTTTTTTCATTACAGTTCTGCGGTAAACAACATCAGTATGCTAATAAAGAAGCATTACAATCTTTCCAATAGTGTTCAACATGTTATGAAATATGGTGGTCGCGGTTTCATCAATGCAAAAAATATTTGCCGGTTTAACAGCGTGATGCAATTATTGCAAATAGTTTTCGTGTCCATATATTTGAGCATTGCTCTCTTGTTAGTATTATTATTCTTCTCTTTCGCCATGATGAAATCGCTTTTCTCTTCGAATACTGGACCAATTGCTTTGAAATTTTTAGTGGTTAAAGATTGATTTTTTTGCCAGAAGGCTATTACCTTTAGTTATTTTAAAAATATCTGTGAACTTAAGAGATTTGTTATTTATGTGTCAGAATAAAAAATAGCGAAACCTTGTGACGTGTTCATATATTTGAGCACAGCTCTCTTGTCTTTCTATGTTTTTTCGCCTAAACCGTAGTTTGCATAATGCTTCACACGTGTGCATTTACATAATAATGGTTTGTGATGAAGAACTGAAACAGTGGTTCCCAAATTGGGGCCCTCGCAGAGGGGCCACATGAGGGGGGGGGGGGACACAACGCTGCGTACAATTGTTTTACATTTCCCCCTTACATGAAAACTTCACATTCTTCCTAGTTTTGTTGTTTGATTAGGTTATTTCACACGGTGTTTGCAATTCGTTGAGCATGAATTGCTCGAACATCATAACATAATGGGATTTGGAATCTGCCGCTCAAAAGAACATTCTAAATACCACTGGAATGATAAACAGGGGGGGGGGGGGGGGGGGGGTTAGTGCTGAAATCCTCCGGAGGGGTGCCGCGGCTATAAAAAGTTGGAAACGACTGGTCCAAACCGTAGTTTGAATAATGCTTTACGCGAGTCCATTTTCATAGGTATGTTTTGTGATGTAAAACTAAAATTTATTCGTGATTTTAAAAAATTGTGACAATTTGTGACACGTGAAAAGTAATGTTTTAGCAAACACAATCAGTGTGATGTTTGAACTGCAACATAAAAGTACTGTACGAGACACGGATTTTCAACCAGGGTTCCACGGAACCCTAGAGCAGGGGTCGGCAATCTACGGCCCGTGGGTCATATTCGGACCGCCGAGTAAAATAATCCGGCCCGCGATGCTTCACTGAAATTTTGCAACAAAACTGCGACTGCGATTTTAACCATAATTCACAATGTCCTTTGTACATTTTTTGCTTAGTAAGTCGAATTGAGTCTACGAGTCGTCGCTCGCTATTTAAAGTCTAAAATTTCAACTTTTGATCTGTGTAAAAAATGTGATTCATCAGCCACCCGTTCGGTTTTTAACTTTCTCAAAAAAAAATATGTGCGGCCTGCCAGGACTTGCAACCCTTAATTATGGCACACAGGCGACAAAAGATGTCCGACCGCTTCCCTAGAGTTTCGCCAGTATCAGATGATCTCAATCTCGCGTCATGGCACAAATTATTAGTGAGACAACACAACGAGATATAATCTATTATTGTATTTCATATAAGATGGCGCACATAACACTGACTCATATTCAATGAACACGGTGTTGATTTACGACAATCCCTTATCACAAACGTCATGCCAGATAATAAATTCATTTATCTCGTAATTTGTGGGAGAACGGTGATGCTGCTTCATGAGTTCATTACTTCGAAAAGTGGTTTGTCGCTGTTTGAACTAGCATGCGCTAAATATCGCGCCTCAAACACGCAATCGATGAAGATGCTACTATCGTTTTAATGCTTACTAAATCAAGTCAAAATCAGATTTCAGATATATCTTTTCGCCCCATTTTGTATGATATTTGTATGAAGAATGGAAGGAATATTCAAGTATTTTGTAGCATATTAATATTTTTTATTATCGGATGATTGACGTATATGGTTCAAAAGGAGATTCCGATTTAGAAGAAGATAGTAATGAGGTTTTGAGGACAATGCACATTTTTGATTGGGTGGCAAGAGTACTAAATGACGAGTGGAGTATGACTACAGAGTACAGACTAACACATAACAGCTGTAGGCAGGGATTCCATACCGTTCTTATTTCTAAGGTCTGTCCTTATTTTTGGCTTGCGTGTCCTTATTTTGTCTTATTAGGACCTCATAATAGAAGCTTTGTGTCGTTTGTCTTATCGCCAAAGCTTTATTGGGGCATCATAAAAGCAACACAATCTTATTTGAAACACAAAGAAGCAAGGCACAGATAGGCATAGGCCGCATAAAGCATTGTTAGTGTGGCGATCCTTAGGTTTTGTCGTGGTCGTGGTGGTGGTTATTTTAGCCTAAATTCAAAAATGAGCAAATGTAAGAACGTTTTTCGTGTACGGGAAAGAATTCAAAGTTAAACGAACCTTGAAGGGTAAGTGATTCGCAAACTGTGACGTCTGTAATTGTGACATTAACCTGGAAAGCCATTTATTTCTGCTCACAATGCAAAAAATTTTCCAGTCGTCCTTATTTTGGGTTTCAGATCGATGGAATCCCTGGCTGTAGGTTTAGTGCACCCTGTGGTGGACATTCGGTTTGAAATAGAGATGTTGAATCTGCGATGCCAACACAGTTCAACCCTCTAACAACCACTAGGACAGTATGCTCCCCAGCTTTTCATTTCAGGGGGGTGTTGGTGTTTCCAATTTAGGGTTAGGAATATTTTGCCAGTGGTAATATAACTATTGGTAACTCATAGAAATATGTTATGTATTAAAATGATTATCTTCCCTGTTGTACACGCCACTTTCTAGATATTCAAATACAATTGAATTTAAGTTAGGGATGAAAGTGTGGTGTCTCACCTTAAATGTAGGGAGTGTTTGTAATTTCAGGATGGCACCTATATGGGGTAGAGAAATAACAGCACTAGGATATCGCGCCTATATAATAAGTTATTATGCGCATTTCACTCCGAATAAGCTGCCACTTCTTCATGTTTTGCAAGGACCGAAATCTTTACGGTCCGGCATTGTCTTTCGAGGGTTATGGTGGTGGGCATGGAGTCACAATCCAAGTACTTTTGTCTGCGATGCCGACACAATTTAATGTAGCGCTCTAACTACCAATTGCTTATTGCCGCAATCATACAGGCGTAGCCAATTTTTAAAAAAAAATTTAATGCAATTTAGAGGTGTTTGCAGTGAAACAAACAAACTTTTCCAACACCATTTTACCCCATTGTTGCACGGTTTACTGAAAACTCGAGGTTTTTTGGCTCGCTATCAATCATATTTTCGCCAAAATAACTAACCGAGATAGATGTAAATGCGGTTGTATACCAGGCTTTTACTTACGCCATCCTTACATGGTTAGTCTGTAATCTTTTTAGAATTTCTTTCAAGTTCGGATTTCGTTTATGAGCTTCTGATTTCACTTCTGCAAGATGTACAGCAGCATAAGATCCTTCGCCGCATTTGTCGAGAAGATTATATCCATTTTTGAGACAAACATCTTTGTATTTTGATTCTAAATTAATTTCCAATTCTGAGTTATCCATCACTTAATTACTGAAATACCTCACAAGACATTCCTCACTGGAAAGTCTGACCTAACCTATGTCTGTGCAGAGAAATGATTAGTATTATTTCAGATGAGTGTGTGATACGGGTATTGGATGGTTCCTGGATACCATTGTAATAGGTTGTGCATCACACGCATTTGTCTTTGGTTTGTTTTTATATCCCATAAAAATAGTAAATACACATAGACTCTATATAGAATAGATAGTACATAATAGTACGTTCATTTTTTGTAATGGTGAACAGGTGCTCAAAGCCTGCGGACGGAGGCCGTGAGCCATAAAAAGGGAAACACTGATCTAATTAAGCTATCAGTAGTTTTAGTATTTGTGCTCCACACCCTTAGGGTTACCATATTTTTGTGACTTCAAAGTGGGACGCTTCTAAAGACAACGACCACTTAGCTGTGATTTTGTAACTTTACATTTTCCGATTTTACTACATAGGCCTACATTTAAAAGCTATCCCGGCTGTCTTCATCGACCAAATTGTCATCGAAAATTCATGCGCATATTCTCTGTCCAAATATCGGGTTCAGTTCGAAAAATAGAAAGGAATTGACCTCATATATACCGGTACAAATAATTCAAATTTAAACTAATTAGTTTTGGTTTTACATGCGATACGTTTTCTAACAATGTTAGATGCGGGAAACAACGAAACAAACGCATTCACCTTCAGTAAATAGGCTAGCGCGGGACTTTTGGCTGACTTGTCGGGACGGCGGGACAAGACGCTAAAAAGCGGGACTGTCCCGCGTAGAGCGGGACGTATGGTAAGCCTACACACCCTCGCCTACTAACAATTGACATAGTCGTTTTGATTCTTACTGCGATTGTTGCATACTGATCCTCTGACGTGTAGGCAAAAAAGGGAAGTAGTGAGGTATACACTAATACAATCAACCATTCTGCATTTATCGATTATATTTGGAGCAGTAAAATATCAGTCTCAAAATTTGAATTTTATCATATAGAGCGGGGCTTATCAAACGTTCGGTGTCTGGGAGCCTGTAAACAGCTCGACTATTATTTACGGAGCCATGCAATAATTTTTTTGTAAGTATAGAAAGAAAAATTAAACAGAATTAAAATACTAAACCTTTTTAATAGGACTAATGCAAACCAGAAATCAATTTAATTTCACAGATAAATTATATTAACGCTGTAAATTTGACACAAACATATTAATAAAGTAGTGCCGAAATGTGGCAACTATAGGCGGTAATTAAAATATGGCATTATCTATATATAGATATATATTGTCATATTTAAATTACCGTCTTTATGCAATATTCGGAGCGAACGTTGTCAAATTTTATTAATGCCCTCATAGCTTCTTTGAACAGGCATAAAATTAGCCAAGTCGGTATTTTGATAAGTATACGAGTATCTCGCGGAGCCTCTAGGTTTCTTTCATGGATCCCTCGTGCTTCGTATGGAGCACTTAGAAAACCTATCATTTATCGACTTGCGAAGTGAAGAAAAAATATTATATTACTACCCATATAGGAAGGGGTAGGGGCGCGTGTATGCAGGTGTAGTATTTTATATACTGCATACTATCCTTATTCTACTGATGAATGTATTTTTAATTTTTTTTCAATTTGTTGGCAATAATAAAGATATTTGCAGTAGCTACCAGAGCTATTAAGCAATCGTATTTTCCATGGCTCGGCGGTGTGGCGCATCGTGCTAAGCGTTAGGAATACGCTCGCCATCGCATCTCTGATAACCCTTCGTGGGATCGCAGGTTCGAATCCCATGCGGGGATGATCATGTGCGAGAGGATTGCTGGACTCCTCGCCGCCGTAGGGTGGTTCACGTAACCGCTGGTCGGTCATGGCTTCCTCCACCATCAAGTCCATGCTTCCGAAAACAAATACCTGGCTAACTAATACCTGACCTGGACTGGTAACCGGGCGAGAGGCCGTGGTTCGCCATATGATTAAGCCGTCTTATCGGCTTTTCTCTCCCCCGGGATAAACATGTAAATCCTATCCTATCCATGTATACCCCGGGCTTGGTGGAAGACAATGCACCGGCAAGTCGCGGCATCGTCCGATAACCATATAAGTTGATAAAATGCGATAAGGCGTCTGAATCACCTGCCAAACTACGGTTTTCCTACTCCAAGTCAGGTAGAAGAATGTCTGATGAATCAATCGTCTCAAATCCATTGTGGGAAATATCAAAAACTAACCGTCGGTTACGCGAACCGACCTGCTTCCATGAGGTGTCCAAAATCTTTCGCACATATCCAGTGGCGTATCTACGTATAATGAAGCCGTGGCAAAGTTTGAAAATGCGTCCCTTTGATCGTTGACTGACAATTTTAACGACAGTTGTTAAATTGAGATACTTGTACGTTCCTTTTTAAGTAGCGATACGAGTTTCAATTATTTCCAATTTTTAATTATTTTTTTGAAACATTTACGAACAAATTATTTCGTCGTTTTTGCGCCCCTTTCCATACGACGCCCACGATACGAGCCGTGGCTGCCGGTGACCGTACATTTGAACCCATGTACATTTGAACCCATGCGTATATCCACGGGTTTAATCTATATGCGGGTGCTGAAACCCATGGGTTAGGGTTAGTATGGGTTTAACTATCCGTGAAACAAAAAAAATTCCATAGGTGCAATAGCATACAGGTGCAATTGTCATGGGTTCAAATGTAATGGAACCGTGGCTGCCATACCCTAGATACGCCACTGCGCATATTCCACGGAATTTAAACCTGTGATCCCCCGCAGAGCCTCCAAATGTGCGATCGTAAGCGTGTTACTTATCACCACTCAGCGCGATGCGGCGACTGCAGAGATGTGATTAACCTATCTTGTATGATTTCCTCTCTGAAATAAATACGAAGTAACCTATCCACGTTTTTTGATGATATCGGAAAGCCGAACTCTGGTTTTGTTTCCAACGTGTGTTGTCAAGCCAGACCATTCCTTGTGATATCACAATACGTTCACCTTGTGTGCTAAGTGAAGCATGGCATCTGTTTAAAAATCCATTTGGCGGTAATATTCATCGCATAACTATGAACTAACTATGTTCTTTTACAGTTGCGCACATATTTAGTTTTGATCTGGTTTGAACGCTTAACAGGCAAGTAAAATGTACAGTCAAGTCTGGTATTAACTTAGCCGTTCATAAAGAATGAATGTTGCGCTCTATTATCAGTTTGGTCGATATGTTTACAAACAGGACTCGCCCGCGACAGCTGCGAATGTTTTGGTGTGAGTTGCGCCGATGTTGACAGCGAAGCGAATTTATCTTGTGAGAGTTTATCGGTGTTGTGGTTTGTTCAGTTCTTACAATAGTATTTATGACAGGGAAAAGGACGACAACACTGAATACCGGAATGAGGCGATGTTTCTAGCTTCTATTTCAAGGATTCGTTAGTGACAAATTATTGCTAAATGGCACTGTGGTTCGCAAAATAAGATTGTGACAAAATATCCATCACTTGGCTATAATACGCGGCTTTTTATTTACCTCAACGGCGAGGGGAAAGACACTAATACAGCTTAATTGTCCGTTTATCAAGTTTGGTCTAGAAGTCGATAACCATTTTATCATAGAATTTTTGTTTTTATGCCGGAGATGAGGAATGCTGATAAGGCGACTTAATCGTATGACGTACCACGCCCATTTGTCCGTTCATCAAGTCGAGTTTATTTATTTTTTTCATCAAGTTTGTTATATAAATACAGGAATAGCCGATCAAGGACTTTGCGGTAAAATGTAAAAGCGAACGTTACGTGACCAATGTAAATTCCCGCGCATATCCACACACATACTTGCAAATATTTACTCCAAATACTCGGGACATCTGATAAGCCGAAGGCGGTGTTTACAAACTGACGAACATTCATGTCTAAAATTTGATGCGGCGCGCGCCAGATTTAAATATCGTCATGGCGGGATTCCCCCAATTTTAAAAAGAGGCCGCTGATCGCTTCAGTGATCTGTAGTAATGTGTCATACCGCGTGTTCGTACCAACGGCTGTTCATTCATTCATTATTCGTGGCGGATGCCGTCTCGTTACTCGTGGTCATTGTGGAATTTCGCAATATACTGTTTCGTATGCTTATTGGCCTGTAACTGCGATTGTGAACGTGAACGATAGCGATGAACTTGGAATATTGTGCCCGTTTATTTAGTCGATTTGTGATAATGTTAAATCTAGAAATATAAAGCAAGACAGGGGGTCGTGTATTGTGTATATACAGATATAATTTTATACCGTACAGCTTTATTTAATGTGTGTTCTCGTATGCTTGTGCTGTTGTCTGCTATCGTATGCTCTATACCGGTACTCCAGTAGGTACTCTAATATATATAAAATTTATCCCTGCTTCCCGAAACAAATAACTGGCTAACTAATCCCTGACATGGACTGGTAACCGGACGAGAGGCCGTGGTTCACCATACGATTTAGCAGTCTTATTGGTTTTCCTCTCCCCCTGTGATAAATATGTAAATCCGATCCTGTTATAAATAAAACAAATTAAATATAAATGAAAATGGGCAATGCTCTGTGTTTTAATATTACTATAAGTATTCTAAAGCATTAGTTTTTAAATTCTTTTTTTTCAGTATTATTGGAACTTCTTTCGTGTTAACGTTTCATTTCTTCTTATTAAACAAAGACAGGAAGTTAGCAGTCTGGGAGAAGCTAAAAGTACTGTCCATTCTTCGATTAACCAGCGATTTTTTATTATTAGCGCCATTACAAAAATTCAGAATATATGCCCAAAAGGGGAAGCAGTTTTGACAAATTTTGTTCAAGTATAAATTTTATTGTTCTGAAAGTCTATGAATTGTAAAAATAAGGTTAATTCATTTAAAGAATAATTAAAAAAAAGACTACTGGACTCGGTCAATTGAACCAAAACAATCCTAATAAATATATCGTTTGACTTATATTGTTTTTTATCGTTTTATCACTTGTGGTAACCTCGCACAATTACTAACTCCTGGTTGCCTGAAATCAGAAAAACTTGTGTTTGTTTTGTTTGCGGGTTAATAAGGAGTTAGTCAAACAAGCTTCGTCAGGAACCAAGATTGATAAACTGACCTTGTAGATAAAGGCGGACGTGATAAAAACTTCTGGTTACTTGATTATTTTGTAGTTTGTTAAAGAGAGAGAGGTGATGATTTATTTCAGAATATATCAAAAATGTACAGATTACAATGGATGGAAAAACAAATCATAAAATATACCTGGGAGGGGGCGGGAAAGACTACGAAGTCAACCATGTCGACCGATCCTTAAAGCTGTAAAGAAAAATTCCTATCATAGTATTAGGACAAAACATTCAGGAGTCATGAAAAAAAAAGACTGCTTATAGACTTTATCGAAGATTTTACTTTATTACAAGTTTGTATATGGGTATGCATGGCGGCATATCAATAGCTGTACTAAAATAAAGCGCCATTTAAATGGCGATTGGGGCCATATATTTATTCCTATTCCAATTAATGTATTTGTCTATGGCTGTATGGACCTATCTGTTAATGCAGTGTGCTAATTACCAATAGCATTGCACCTCGTAAAAAAAATTCTAATTAAAACATTTATGAAAGTATGGCTATAAGTCTACCTTGTTAACAATTTAACATTGACTGCCGAAAGCAATCAAGAGTAAAATAGCGGTATTGGGACTACCTCATTAGGGTGAGATAATATCGTATACACACGTTTTATTAAATTCCAATTCAGAATATGCTTTTGCTTGAGCAACAAACAATTTAATTTTAGGCTTATTACATTAAAAACCCGGTAAAGATGATTACTCCCCATTTTTATTAAAGGTTACATGAGTTGACAACGGTTCTAATTTGTCCTTGACTGACACACCCAGATCACACCTATATAATAACTTGTTTTCTCTGTTCCCGGAACTAGTTTCTTCAATTTACTTTGCAATTTGTCTCTCGCATCGTCAGCATAAACTCGAGAGTCTTCAGATTGTTAGATTATTTTCTTTTGTCTCTTACTTAGCCAGGTGACAAGCGTTGTTTAATAACATAAGCATGTTGCTTGTTGCTTCTGCAAGAATGCTTGCATTATATAATCTTTTTTAGGGGTGTGTAAAGAGGTTAGGGAAACTTGATTGGACATCTATTATTGCTAGCTCAGTTGTCAGTGACGATCGGTATGTATAATTCATTTCAGTAATATTGTCGTTAAAGTTAGTCCCATGTACTTTGGTGCGAGTTTGTTGGATTACAGTGATTCTGATTATATTTTTCATAAACTCTACTTTTGAAATTACTTTGCTCATTAGGAAGGATTTCTTGGCCTCAAGCAAAATCATTCTTTTGTCAGTTTGCTCACGGTAATTTAATTTTATGGAAGTTTGGGTAAAAAAAAGGACCATAAAACATGAACTTTCCTGTTTCACAGATCTAGACTTGTGTATCTGTAACTGTGATTCTATTATTTCGTTCCTTTCCTGTTCTTCCAAGTTTGTTGAGGAATTTTCACTGAATAACTGAAAATGGAAGGAGGGATGAATGATTCTGGAATCGTTGTTGAAGTACACAGATCAAATTGTGACTTCAGAATTGACGTGGAAAATTTGAAACAGATTCCTAGTAACGACATGAGTGAGACCTCTAGTGGAAATAGTTCTGGGTCTGATTCGAGAATGGACGAAGTGAAGAAAATCGATAGTAAAAGTGAGACACCTAGTGACGAATTAAATGATTCTCTGCCTCCTTATTCTGCGGTTATCTCGAATGAAAGCAGTGATATGTTGCTTAGTTTGGGATCAGTCGAAAATGGAAAAAAAGATAAGAAAACTCCAAATTGTTGTTTGCATGCAATTACGATGACTATTCTTGCAATTGGGAATTTTCTCCAAGACCACAAGACAATAGTTTATCGTGTTTTGACGGTTTTGTTCATCTTTTGGAATCTGATATGGTTGGTTGTCGCTGCTGTGAAAGATTGGACTCGTTGTTTGCCGTTTTTCGTTATTATATGTCTGATAATATTCTTCTCAATGTATGGCTACATTCGAGACCGTTTTGGCAACAATATCATTAAAAGCTTTCGTCCATGCACTTCTGGATTCAGTAGTTGCTCACAATATATGAAATGGTTTGCTTTGGTTCTCATTATAGCTGCTTTAACGATTTGGATTATCTTCGACACATCCAAGCGTCCGTTTCAACTCATCTCGATGGTTGGATACTTGGTTTTCTTATTCATTTTGTTCGTGTTCTCAAAAACTCCAGAACATGTGATATGGCGACCAGTTATTTGGGGATGTGGAATTCAAATCTGTTTAGGATTGTTCATTCTTCGTACAAATGCTGGTTTCTCAATCTTCAATTATCTTGGTGATTTAGTGCAAACATTTTTAGGCTTTGTGACTAGTGGATGCAAATTTGTTTTCGGGGACAAGTACGTCGATCACTATTTCGCACTCGGAGTTTTGCCGATTATCATCTACTTCAGTGCTTTTATATCAATCCTCTACCACTTGGGGGCGATGCAATGGGTCATATCAAAAATCGCATGGGTGATGCAAAGTACCCTCGGAACATCTGCAACAGAGTCTATGGTTGCCGCCGGTAACATTTTCGTTGGACAAACGGAATCACCTTTACTAATCCGACCTTATATTAAAGATCTTACTACGTCAGAAATGCATGCTGTAATGACTGCTGGCTTCGGCACAATCGCTGGAAGTGTTTTGGGTGCATATTTGGGATTCGGAATCAAAGCTGTTTATGTTATAACAGCCTGTGTCATGGCGGCACCGTGTGCTTTAGCAGTATCGAAGCTGATGTACCCAGAAACAAAAATATCTAAATTCACGTCAGATGAGGCTTTAGTTTTGGAATCAAGCGGGCATCGCAATGTCATCGAGGCAGCATTTGTAGGAGCTTCTCAAGCTATTCCGCTTGTATTAAACATAGGAGCGAATCTAATCGCATTCATTGCTTTGCTAGCTGGTGTGAACGCTTTCCTCGGTTGGTATGGAAGTCTGGTTGACATTGAGAACTTAAGTTTTGAATATATATGCTCCTATATATTTATGCCTTTCTCCTATCTGATGGGAATCGAATGGGTAGACTGTTTCAAGTGCGCGGAACTTATTGGAACGAAGATTTTCCTGAACGAATTTATCGCTTACGAGAAGTTGTCGGTGCTCATTGATAACAAGGCAAATGGAACACTCCCTAGGGTTTCAGACTCTGGTGACATCCAGTGGATTAGCGACCGTTCCGAAGCAATTATCACATACGCTCTATGTGGTTTTGCCAATATTGGATCACTTGGTATAATGCTTGGTGGGCTTGGAGGAATGTGTCCGGAGCGCCAAGGTGAAATGGCAAAAATAGTCATCCGCGCGTTAATCTGCGGAATATTTGTCAGCTTTTTAAATGCATGTACTGCTGGCTTTTTCTATTTACCATCTGAGGTGAATTGCACAAAAGTGTTCACACGTCACTGGCATTCGTCAGAGTTAGAGCACATACATCAATGCTGCGTTCACTTTAACACAACAAACTTTAACACAACTGTTGTTAATTCAACTGATATCTTTAGTGAGTGTTGCAGCACGAACTGGCCCCATGGTTTTGCATTTATAGAAGGATGCTAGCGATTGGGAAGGAGCTGCTTTAGATAGCTCAGTCATGTATTTGTTGCTTTGAATTTATTTTCAGTGACTGGTAACGTCACTTCGAAATTTCTAGCTCTGATGGGAGTTGGAATGGGCAATTCATGGATGATTTACTTACAGTTTGAAAGATTGAATTAGCTGGCTAACTATTAATATGTATCACTGTTATATTTTCATGAATTATTTGAAGAAATATCTGAACTATAATCACCTAAAAATCCTTGGTCATGAGTTTTGAATTGCAAAGTGTCTTAAAATTTTGTTATCTTTTCCAATTTTTTGCTCAATTTATTTTGTCCCATCGTTAGAATATGCTTGATGAGCAATTGCTTCATGTTTTATCGTTTCGGAAACATTCTTATTCAAAGCACTGTGTTTTTAGCAGTGGTTTATTTATTTGTAAATAGTAGCTGCTTTGATGTTTTAAAATGAAAAAAAAAAAATAGCTTGAAACATGCTTGCTTCTCTTTTTTTAAAATGTGGTGCCGTTTTAGTTTTTAATAACGAACTACCTCTGGCATGAAGTTTGCCAAAATTGCTAAAACAGAGAAAATGGCAACGGTCATTAAATATTTTCGGTCTTTTTCAAATTTTGGGATTTAAAGAAAAAATTTTCAACAATTAAGAAAATAAAATTCACTATCGTTTGGTAAATTCTTGATCCAGGTGTTATAAATCTAAATTTAATGTAAGGACAAAAATGTTTTTTTATCAATTTTTTGGAACTAGTGTAATTAAAAAATTGTGTATTGTGATTTATTGCACAAAATATTACTTTTGCGAAGTTTTAAAATTGATTATTTCGTAATATTTTTTTGCTCATAATCAAGGCATTATATATCACTGGTTACACAACAGTACTTTTTCCACAATTTATTTTGCACGGACAAATTTGTAACGTCAAGCCGTCAATTTTGAAGTCTTGTCACTGTTAGAATTACTTAACAGAATTTATTTTTAGTAACAGTTGTGAGATATGGGTTTTCCTTATTTTAGACACCAAACGCTTCAATGCCTATTATCAGCTCAGTTCACATTTTAGTCGCTTGTTACCTTCACATTTATCTTTGCTTCTTCAGCTTTTTAAAACGTACTGACCATGTTCACACAGTTCCTGAAGATTTTGTAGCGCTTACTTAACCCTGAAAACTTCAAATAGCTTGAAAATCATTAAAAAAGCTCTCCTCAAAATTCATAATTTAAATATAAAACTGCTGGCAATAACATATTTTTTACATTTTAAAACTGAAAAATAGTTGCATTGAATCCAATTTTTTTGGTCAATTTGATAATTATCGTAATTTCAGCCACATAATTTGGAGTAATTTCTGATTTAGTGCATCCATTTTGTGAGTAAATTCCTACCAGTCCTGTTAATTTGTTTTTCATTTTATTCTCTTTGATGAATACTGCTATCTCCATGCATGCACAAGTTATTTCACTACACAATGTTTTTATTTTCAATTTTTATTACTTTGAAATTTTGCTCCACTTACTTTGCTAAATGCCCATAAAATTGCTGTGTTTACTGTAATTATGTTCGTTTGTGAAATAATCCAAAAGGTTTTTGGTGTTTTTAATTAGTCATTATGTAATGCTGTTTGCTCTGAACAAGGCCCTAATTAAGTTAGGTGGTATTTTTCTGACAACCTCGCCTGGACGATTTTATTCCATCCTGACTTGTTCTCACTGTGGGGGTGCCAAAACTGAATTGACATACCAAATACAATATAAATTAATATTTTTGAATAATAAATATCAGATATATTTTTAATTGAGTCACGCTAAACACGGATTACATTCAGATAAACAGTCATTTCATTGGTTTTCTATATTTCAAAAGTTGCACAACACTTCTCTGTCACACTGTTAGACTCTATTAACAAAACTATTATAATTTATACCAAAATCTAGATTTTGAAAAGTGAAAATTTAATTCGTTTGTTGGAACATCTTTAGCTCTGAGCCTCGTGAATAAAATGCATTTCCAAAGTCGTTATCTTACTGCAATTACATCTTTACCTTTTCGCAATCAAAATAAGTTTTTTAACAAAAACTTTGAAGTCTTTATTTCCACTATACCAAAATCATACTTTTAGTTATTTAGTACAATTTTGAGCCTTCAGTAAAAATCATTCAGGCATGACTTGTCAGAATAATCTTATTCTAATGTAAAGATGTCAATGCTGCTCTTTCTCAATTTCTTGAGATGAGATCAAATTGTACTAGGCCTGACTGGGCTTTTATTATTTTTGGTCCGAATTTTTCTAAGTTGGTTAACATTCATTTCATGGTCCCTAATTTCTTTTAAACATGCTTTTAAATTTCTACCGCTGTTGAGATGACTATCCTGATTTTCTGTTGTTCATCCGCTCTTTGCCAAATCATATTTTGCAACAATTTGCTTTTGGTGTGTTGGTAGTTACTGAAAAGGATCGGTTGGAAAACGAAAGATTTGATCAAGGAGAGCTAGTTTGATTCTATCTAACTTTGAACTGTTAATAAAAATATGTCACCAACACAAAAAAAACTGAGAATTTTTTCACAAGTCCCATTTGATTGTTTTTTAGATTCTGTCAATAGTTATAACTTTGACTGCCACCATTAGATTTTGGAATTCAGCCACAAATAATCCTGAATTTTTAACTCAGTGAGTTTGAAAATACACTGACAAGGACATGTCAAAATCTGGTCTTAGATCACTAAATTTTACCCAGTGAGATCAGCTGCTTTTCAGTAATTACCTACTACTTATGCTATTAGCAGATTACAACAGCTTGCATATGTTATGTTGAGGGAATTCATTTGGATAAATTGTTATTTTATGCTTGTTGGAGTTTTCAGTCCTTATACTGTTTTTTTCTGATTTATAATAAAAGACGTGAAACTGGAATTCTTTTGTGTTTGTTATTTCTAAATATTTCAGGTAAAACAACAGGAATACCACCAATTATAGCAGAAGGCTGTTCTAGTTGATTCTGAAATACAAATTGAGCCAAATTTTGTTCTCACAAAGTTTTTTTGCCCATTGATTTGCTGTATTGTCATTTCACTAATAAATATGGATGTTTAGAACCGGAATTGCTCATATATCAGGTTGGGAGTTTTATTTTGCTGTTACTGGTCTGCCAGTAGAGATGTGATATTCTGTCCAGTATTAAATTAAGTAAAAGAATATTGATGTGCTTCGTTCAACTAATGTTGGGCATATAAAGATGTTTTGAACAGACACCGACTAAAATGGTCAAGAAGATATATAGAGAACTGACTTCACAACAACATTGTAACAGGACTTTATGTATGATGAACATCCTGTATTTGCTGTAAAGGTTCATTCAAATGGGTTCAGAATATTCAATCAGTAATTCAGGTCAATGATTTTGTTTTTCCCGACTTAAGAATTTAAATACTGGATAAACCACATATGTAATATGGTTTAAGTGCATCATTAGGGACAAAAATAAACTTTTGTTGTGATTGTTGGCTGACCTGGATTTCAAGTACTGTTGGGATTCAAAACAAGGCAAGCTGCTGGCCTGATGTATGAGTCAGGCAACTTAATCACAATCAGTCAAAATAAAACACTTAATACACTTTAGCAACTGCATTTCTGTTTTTGCCTGTGTGTGATATTGTATTTGTTATGTTAAGATGTGGAGTAGTGAACTTACTCGCTATTATAATTCAATCTATCATAAAAACACACAACAACAAATTTCATGTCAATCTTCCATCCCGTCTGTAAAATGTTGTTTACTAAGGTTCCTAGCTTATCGGTATGTCATTGACCAGGAAGCGTTTGATATTTATCCTGTTGTTAGTTTAGGCGCCAAAAACCGCCCACCAATCCCGCCCACTTTGAATGTTTAAAATGGACATTAGCCGCCAACATGGACGGCACTCTCGGGACACGTTATCAAATATTGCGTCATCAACGATTGTCTACAATAAATTTGAGACTATTTACTAATAGCACCGCGATTATCCTAAACTGCAGAAATCCATTCTTGACCCGCGCTGAAATGGGTTTTCCGTACTGTTGTCAAAGTTGAATCGAATTTTGCGCGTAATATTCTGATTGGCTGCCGATGATGCGAAGCGCCCAATGATAAACGAGCCTTTAGACAACGCCTTCGAGAGGATGCGACGCTTCCCTGACGTCATGGCGTTGGTATTATATTTCAATGGATCCCGGATATTCGTCAGTACATTGGAATGTAGTCTTACAGAAAATTAGAAGAATTGTTATGAATTTTTTGTTTGATTTATTCCGGGAAAATGTTTGTGAATAATGACAAAACTTTCGGGCTAATTCCTTTAATCACATTCAGTCATTATATAATGTTACATTATTCGGCTTATGGAACGTAATTTATTGTGAGTGACGCGGAACTGCCGTGTCCTTATTTGACTTACCTATGTCTTTGTGTCAGTCGTTGGTTTGTGTCTACATGCGCATTTTTAAGGTGCCATAACACGAAATAAGATAAATGTGCGGGAACCACATAAATACCTCGTGGCATGAAGGTTTCCAATGTATTTTATTACCGCGAGTGTTCACAACAGTCGTTTTATTCTTCTCATCACAAATGGCCCGAGCAATGATATATTTCGGATCTTGGCGAAGTCCAACTCACATAAAAACGAGAAGATATAAGCATGCAACTTTCTCTTGACTTGGGCCCATAGCATCGATTTATTCAAACATTTTAGAGTACAAGTGATTTCATCGTTATTTTCGAAAATGAAAAATAAGATGACGCTTTTGGACGTGTTCCCATGTCGTTAAATTGAAATCTGTATTTTTGGCTTCATTCGGAATATAAATTTTACATCTACAAGAAGTCTAAATTCAGCTAGATTCTCGGACATGCTCCGCCGCGCAAGCTATCGGTCAAAATGAAATTTTAATTCGGTTGAATATTAAGCAGGGTTTGAGCTTTACGTAGATTTGTTCTTGCTTGGCGCGTTGCTGAATCTGGAATCTGAGTTTACAAGTAAAATGGCTGGTCGCCGTTCTGAAAGGTAGTCTATGTGTAATATGTTGATTCTTATATTTAATGCTGGTTCCATAGGTTCTAAATTATCGTATAACGTTAGATTAGTTCATTCCATCATTCATCAGTTCATGGAACTGTAGTACCGGTACCGGTACCGTATCTGCGTCTTGGTGTTCTGTCAGTATTTTGACTCTATTTTATCAAGGGGAACGAAACTTTCTCTTTATAATTTTAATCCATTATGAATGAACGTCGTTGGTGCATCAATCTAAGTATTTAACTTTTGAGCATTTGCTATCACACGGTCCCACCACAACAACACAATCACTGAATTACCCTGGTTTAAATCTTGTGGAGCATAATTACAGAATTATGTGCCAGAATATTGCTGAATTCCCCACTCTTTTACTGGTCGGTTAGTATTCCATCAAGGTACATGTATATGATTAAACCGCCTCAACGACTTTCTTCTTCCTTGGGATAGATATGAAAATCCTATTCTATTGATATTGTATTCAGATCAAAAAAACCTGTTGAATATTCCAAGTTTAATGGCGAAGGTGACAAATGTGATAAAGATTCGGATGATGGTGAGAAATATAGTTTTTATTGAAGCTTAAATATTACCTGTTTTCAACGGACTTTTGTATTTACTATAAAAGTAAATAAGCAGCAATATAGGTGGAAAGAGGTGATCAATCATGTCTGCATGTGGTGAACCATGACCCCTCGTTTGGTCAAAAACATGGACTGGTAACAGAATGAGGGGCCGTGGTTTGCCATATGATTAAGCCGTCTCATCGGTTTTCCTCTCATTTGGGATGAATATATAAATCGTATCCTGTAAATCCTTGGTTACATGTTCAGTATGTCTCAACCAGCCCAACTCTGGTTGGCTCTTTTTAGAGTAAAGGCGTGAAAACATGTTATAAAAATACTGTAATGTGCTCTGGCAGCAATAATAGTACCCATATCTGGATGAGATAATTCTGGCCAGTCATGCTTCATTGATTTTTGATATTATTTCTGGTCCCTTATTTCTGATGTAAATTTTCAGATTTCGCTGACCCAACCCCACCTCGGAAAAAGACAAAGAAGCCGGAGAAAAGCAGGGAATCGAGAAAGGAGAAAAAAGACGAAAAACCTGTTCAAAGGAAATCAAGAAACAGGTGAAACCATTCGGGTCTAGATTTCGAGTGATCGCCTGCGCGCTTTGGATGTCAATTCGTATAGTTCGAAGGGCCGTATTACCTCATTGTGATGTTGTTGTGCTAAAATTTTTGAATGACGCAGTCAGTCGGGGGTTAGGATTGACATATACAAAAATTGCTACGCCTACTAGAAGTACTTGAGGCATGACTATACTACACTAGACCCAACCATTATTTATAACAAGACTAAATATAGAAAGCGTTCAGGAATTAGGTACTAATTAGTCACAATATTATGAATGATTATGAAACAAAGTCGGTTGAAAGCCCACTTGCGAATAATCAGTGTTAAAGGTACTGATTAGAATCAAGAAACTCTCCCACAATTCATCTTATTTGTTAATAATTAATGAACTAACAATGATTGTGAACGTTGCTCAAATATCAGTACTTGAACTTTTACTACTAGAAAGAAACTACTCTGCCTCAACGATTTCCCTCTGCAAAAAGAGCCTTAATGATGACACATCTGGTTATATATACAATGTAACTGTAAATATCATTATAATACTATACAGGGTGTCCAAAGAATTTTGCCCAATTTTATAATAATAGCAATTAAATATTAAACACCCTTTACATATTGAACAGATTATCAGAAGAAGAAAAATATCAGCAAGAATTAGAAAAAGCTTTGAAAATATCTATGACATCAACAGAAAGGGATGCCGCCTCCCAAAAAATGAAAACTTCTGATGTGGAAAATATTTCTCAAGATATTGTGGAATCTCAAAATATTTCGATAAAATCTGAGTCCCAGAAAACAATAGGTGAAATGAATGAGTTATATATATCAGCTCAACTATAACATCTCTGGCAACCCAATTGGGTGATTCAATCTGGCCTGTCTTATGCTGCCACAGCCAAACTGAAACCAAATCCCAATGTTTTAGCTAAAAATGGCTCAAGGAATCTGTTAAGATTGCGATTAAATTTACGGTAGTTTTTGCATGAGGCATATTGTTTTCCATCTTTGCTTTGTAACACAGCAAATATTGTTCGATAAAATGTAACTTTTTACGTCACACTTACATGGCCCGCCAGAGTAGGTGGGCAAAATTTTTGGCCCCTGGTTCAAAACGTTGCCCATCTTGCTGTAGAGTCATTCGTGACTCTTCAATAGTTCTATAATCTTAAGCTTCAAACAAGCTTACATAAAAATGCTCAATTCCATATTTTATTATTCAGAATCAACAACCGACACTCAGAACTCACGCCTCGTTCAAGCTGATGTTCTGGATTCACCGAATACAAAACTTATACAAAGGGCTGCTATGAAAGCTTCTGAAGATTCTGAGAGAAATCTCAACAAAGAAGCTATTGTAAAGTATGTTGTTAATTTAAGGAGTCCCAAATCCCATTAATTGGGTTTGGGATAGTCGCAAGATAATAATCTCAGTTACCGTATTTATTCGCAAATAAGCCGAGTTTGAAAACTAAAAAAAAAGTTGCCCAACTAAGGGACCGTCTTATGCGCGCATAACTCAGATAGCACCAAAAAATCGGCTCCTTCGCGCATCGAGACTTTGATCACGCAACGAAATGATATAATGCTGACTTGCCGGTAATTGCAACAGCTACAGACCATGCTTAATTCTCACGATAATGAGCGTGCACGCACACACCACACACGCGATCGCTTGTCTAGGTGTGATTGTTTGATCATAAACGTGACCGCTTGTATTTGATTAAATTTAATTGTATCTTTTGCATAAGAGCAACAGCATTCATCTATCTACCAGCCGTCTCGTGGTCAAAACGTTATCATTTGTGCACAAGTAAGAATCAGATAGAAGTTTCAGGTAGAATAATACTCACAGCATTAATTCTTAACAATAAAACTGTAATTTCAATCATTTTGAACAACCATTTACGGTAACTGAAAGGTTGAAATAACCTATGAATATGATGTGATAAATACTGTGCTGTACGTCCATGGGTTAGGCAACAGCTGTGTTTTCCGTTTTTCCTGAATCAGCAAAACGGAAGGGTCATAACATAAATCAATCACTTTATTTCGTGGTAGCCGTTTTCTTTCTGAAGTGCCGTTATCGGGCAGGGAGTGCTTCATTGCACCGGCCACATTTTTGTTTTTAGGATTAAGACAAATAACAGGTGGTATACAAAGTCAATTAAATAATCGGCAGACACTTTGGCATACATTATAAAATATATCAGCCCATATATGAAGCTCACACAAATCATGTTTGAGAAGACTTGCGAAAAATAACCAAATTTATTGCCGTGTCCACTCAGGATATCTCGACTACCTTAATATAAAATAATGATTGTAAAATATTTTCAATCAAAAATGTCCTCATGTTATACGTTTGGTACTTCAAGTCGGCGCTGATTTAATTCCTTTCATGTTGGCAGTAATTTAGTTGTGCCGCAAAGTGCCGTCTACCATTACCATAAAACAGAAAATATAATAATCGAAAATTGTTTTAATCAAAATGTGGACAGCGGCGCTAGAATGTGTGTGCCATATACAAGAAGGTAGCGAATCGCGATATTTGAATATTAAATTTGAATTGAACATCATTGACTGTAATAGATGCGTGCGCCGTGTTACGATTTGTGGAAACGGCGTATATGCGAATTTTTATAAATTCACTATTTCGAAGCTGTTATTAGGGAGTCGGCTTATCCGCGTGATAGGCGTATAGTCGAGAAAATACGGTAACCTATTCAGAGAATTTATTTTTTGCATTATGAAAGTGACTCAATATTTTATTGCTATAATCTATAAAAAGGAGAATTTCAACAATTTTCTGACTTTTATGGTTTTTCGATGGCAGCTTATGCCATTTCAATGGTTGCATGCAATCCTTCACCTTTTAGTAAGTAGGCGTGCCCTTGCTTTCTGCAAATTATCTTAAAGAAAACCGGTTTAAAGCCAATTGCATGATTTCTATCATTGTTGTTTCATATTTGGCCATATATAAAGCGTCCATATTCTTTCAGTGGAGCAGCTTTGATGAACGAAGACACAATTGTAATTGACCCGGTTGAAGATAATGAAGAAAAGGGGAGAAGAAAAAGTGGGCGGAATAGGGAAAATATAAAAAAGAAACAAGATGAAGAAGAGTATGAAATGAGTGGTGAAAGCGAGTCTGAAGATGGTAAGTCTATTGTATGAGACGTCCCCAAGCCTCTCTGAACAAGTCACCGCAAAAGCTAATATTGTGGGGTAAAATTGATCCTAAATTTAAGGCAATTGGCATGGGAGTAGAGCTTAAATAATTTAACTCGCAATACCTGCTTAGTTAGGTTCAATCTTTAAACTACCGGACAATCACTCCCAGTTACTCTAAGTTATATTTTTATTGCATTGTATCATTTTTATGCATGAGTTCTGATTGAAATATTTTGCGATTTGACCTAGCCAGTGCAGTGATGTATTGTTTACTAGGTGGCTTGGCATAGGGGTGTGCAACCTGCGGTCCACAAGAAAAATTTGTACAGCCCGTGGAGAAGTTTTGAATGATGTGCGCCGTGCGGTCCTCGAAATGAGTTTTTAATTCAGTTTCATCTGGTACGTGAGAGTCATTCCAATTTCATTGCGTTACTGATACCTGAGTCCAATTCATTATCTATGGACCAATAACCAAACTTTTTGTGCCTTCAACTACAAGAAAGCACATGGTAAATAAAGGTACGGCACGCAGTTTCACCCAGATAGTTGTATCTGGCGCTCCTGCATTAAAGGTTGCACACCCCTGGCGCAGAGCGTTAGACTTAAGAATGGGTGCTCCCGAAGTATGCGAACCAAGATGGCGGACATCGGAACGTAACATGGGTAACAGGTTAGGGTTAGGCCATAATTTTTTTCCAATTTTCCCTATTTTAGTCCTATTATCAGTTCGAAGACTAGCCAAGAGCCTTCCGTAGTTTTTATACCTAAAATTATGGCCTAACCCTAACCTACTACACATATTACATTCCGATGTCCGCCATCTTGGTTCGCATACTTCGGGAGCCCCTAAGAATGAATGGAACACAGGTACACATTTCAAGTTTAAATCTCATTCCAACCACCTCACTCAGTGTGTAAAAATATTGTGATTCAAGTCCTTCCGTATGTCGAATAAAAAATATGAGAGCCACCTAAACCTTCCTTTCCTCTGCGAGGATTATGAAAATTCTATTGACAACCCAATTTTATCTATTGAACTTTATAACACTGGATTTCTTTCCAGAAATTTCATCGGAAGATTGTAGCAATGAGAGTGATTATGAGGAGACACCGAAGAAAAAAGTTAAAACAAAAAAGCAAACAATGAAAAAGAAAGAAAACAAAATTATTGCAACAAAAGGTAACATTTCTGGCAGAATAAAAACCATTTTGCTCATTTGTATTTCTGCCAAAAAAACTTGTAGTATGGGTATGTTCCATTACATTTGAACCCACGTACATTTGAAACCATGACAATTGCACCTGCATACTATTGCACCTATAGAATTTTTTTTGTAATACGGATATTTTAACCCATACTAACCCTAACCCATGGGTTTTAGCACCCGCATATAGATTGAACCCGTGGATATCCACATGGGTTCAAATGTACGGTCACCGTATGCGTACAGTCTGCATACATTTTTACTTTCATATATAGTCTAACTCAGGGGTGAGCAACATTTTTAATAACCCACATCAAACATCTATCCGAGCCACACAAAAAATTAACAACAACCAGAGCGCTGCAGGGAGAGGCAAGCCAAGAGATTGCGGCCATCACTTACCCTTCCAGTAATAATGGCGTCGGGAAATCGGCGAAAGATGTAATGCAGCGGCAAGAGCAATCACCAAATGTATTTTTACCCATGTGTGTGCCTCTTTAAACATAAACTGTTGGAGTAGGGTTTAATACTTGATGAGGAAAAATTGGGTGTTCACAATGGCCACACTAAATGGCTTGATGGGCCGAGTTGTGGCCAACGGCCCATTCATTGCACACCCGTCGTCTGGGTGTGTGTCTGAAGAAGTTCAATTGGGTTTTTATACTGTGTGATAGATAACTAGGGCTGGCCGACTGGACATTTCAAATCGAATAGGGCCTCCTATCAGTTATAGCAGAGGTGGGCAAATTACGGCCTGCGGGCCGGATTCGGGCCACCGAAGTGTTCCATCCGGCTCACTTGTGTCTAATGAAATTACGACTATAGTTTTTATGAATATAAATTTCTGTTGAAAATATCGATGAAAATATCGTCATAAAATGACCCTGATTGTTACATTGTGCTTCTTATTATTATATAAACGTCAGGATAGGTGATGGATTAGCTTTTGTAAATAAACTCTTTTTATTCATGGTTTTTTGAATTGAGTTTTAAGACTCCCCTAGTAACCAAGTATATTATTTGAACAGATTCAGATAATTTAATCCTCGTCGTGGCCCACTCGGAAAAGTAATTGCCTACCCCTGGGTTATAGCAACTATGTTGATGCCACATGACTGAAAATGTCATGTTCAGGTACCATGCCCACCAGTGTTCACTATTAGCGAACTTTTTTGCGAAAAGTGCGAAGCACTTTCGCAACTTTTTTTAGGGACTGCGAAATAGCACTTTTTTCCGATTTTGAAGAGAAATAGCACTTTTTTCTGATTTTGAAAGAAAAAAAAATTCAAAATTGAAAAATATGTTTATGTGAGTCTTAAGTTGTCAAATAAGTAACATACCAGTACTTTTGTAACTCAATTCTGCATATCATAAGGATATTTACCGGAATTCTAACCTATGAGATGCAGACATAGAAGATAAAGCTTTTGCATTAACCGCAAAATTCTTGTTAATAATATGATTATTATACAAGCACGCGTATTCCGCTTCTCCCACAAAACGCTCCAACGGCGTAATCGCGGTGAGTTTCTTTGAACGAGAGTGTGGTCATGTGACATCCACGAATTGCCACAAAATGAAACGATTTTCTGGTGCAAGTTTGACGGGCCTTTGTTCCCTTCTTAAGAGATTTTACTGGATTTAGAAAGTTCTGAAACCCGACACGACATTATTTAGTAATATAATGTACCCTTATGCAGTTATTTTTTGAATTAGAAGAAACTTTGCAAAATCATCAAATTCACAAAACACATATCATATGCCTTATTAACAGCCATTGCATTGTAACCAGGAATGTTAAAAGCACGTGGCATTTTTCGGAATTTTGCGACATTGCATCCATTTCTCATTGATATGCGAGGTTATGATATTAATGTCCAGAATATTTGTGACCGTAATACAATTAAAACCGACAGACTTTTGTCATTACCATATCTTATCTTTATTATTTAGCGCTGATAATGATAAATAAGAATGTGTAATTGTAATTGTTGATTGCAATTCCGGAGGCGTATTTTCCTTTCTCTCCATGAAACAGACATGAAACGAATTTTACCGCCGTCGTGGGTGCATAAAAGGAGAGAAGGGTTATAAGTTAATTTAAGGACGTACTTTTCCCGACTCGATCACTTTTATGGATACGAATCACAGCCCATTGAAAAGCCATATAGAATTTAATAACATTAATTTACAACGATTTACGGGTAAGAACTAACCTTGGGCTATCGCTAACAGGTAGAAACGATAAATGTAAAAAAAGAAATTCCCTTGCCTTTTTGTGTCATATTTTTCAATTCCTAATTTTGCACAGAGCGTGTCAGCACCGTTTTTGTAAACTTAGAAACGTCGAACCATGCAAATAATGTATTTATGGAAATTTCTCAAGATATCGGGAAAACATATTTTTATTTTAACCATGTAGAAATGCCATTATTGCCGATTCATTCACGAGTTTAGTATCAGTGTTTTAACTCAAATCTGAGTTACGTGAATACTCGACACTGAGTATTCAAGAGATTACCAATTTGCGGAGTTTTAAAATATTATTTATTACGAAAGTTACACGGACACGATCTAAAATTAAAAGCATAGAAATACCAACTATCCGCCTCACAAATATCGCATCCCGGGGTCAGTAATGGTAATATTGTTCGCCTAAAAAAATTGCGACCGTAATTTACAAACTGTGATACAAATCCTACACAGAAGATAAAAATCAGGATACAATTAAATTGTGTTGTGAATGCACTCCGTAATAGTGATCTTTAACATCTTCGCCGATGTGAACCCACAATTCTGTCCGAAATATAATATATTTTGCTCGCCACTAATCACACCGCGCATGTAAATAATTATTAAATGGCAATAAAAAATCAACTACATTAACAATAAATTCCAAGTAATAGTTCCACATTTCATGCATTTGATCGGCGCTACATGCGAGCGCGTTTTTGTACATACGAACCATTATGAGGCTACTGATATCTGCATGTTATAGTTCTCTCTAAAATTAATTTTCGCGATTTTTAGTGTTTTATTTCTGAATGCGGATACCCGCTGACTACGGATAAATGGTCGATTTTTAAAATAGGACTTGCAAAATATTCACCAACACCGACAGGCAAAGAAAGGTGTGCTATATGTAACTGGAATTTCGCTGTGAATGACCATACCTTTTAATTTATTAAACGCATTATGTCGTCGTGAAACACGCTTTTGGTGCAATGTTTTAATTTCAATTTTCGAGAATCATCCTCGTTGTATTTCGTGTTCCTTCGCAAATTCTGCCTATATATGATGTTTTCTACCCGATTTTAACTAACTTGCACGCAAATCACGGCATGTCGACATTTTAAAAAATTGCTTGTCCTGGCGTAAGCTCTGAAATAGTCTAACATTAATGTAAACGAGAAATTAGGCTAAAAGCTAGTTTAAGATCACGAAACGGGGAAAGATTTTAGAAGTGATCTTGTGTAATATTTAGGAGAAAAAGTTTGAAGGGAAAGTAGGTTAACTTATCTCTTAAAACAGCGGGTGGTGTCTATCAAAATGATATTGCTTAATATATCGGAGAAAAAAATCTTCGGAGTGAAAGTAGGTTACCCTATATCTCGTAAAGCGGGAGATGACTTTCAAAGTAATATTGAGCAAATGTGCAATATTTTGGAGAAAAAGGTTTGAAGGGAAAGTAGGTTAACTTATCGCTTACTTGAAACAGCGGGTGGCCTCTATCAAAGTGATATTGCTTAAATGGCGGAGAAAAAAATCTTCGGAGTGAAAGTAGGTTAACCTATCTCGTAAAGCGGGAGATGACTTTCAAAGTAATATTGTGCAATATTTTGGAGAAAAAGGTTTGAAGGGAAAGTAAGTTAGCCCTTTTTTTTCACAACACAACAATCGATAAAGAATGAAAAAGGGAGCCGGAGAAACATGACGTCAAACAATCTTATAAAACTGGAAGAGGAGCGACTACTTTTAAGCATATTCTATCGAACGAGGAAGCGTGGTTAAAGCGATAGCGCCCAGATTTGACCTACCTACGAGGATGGAAAAAGTTTGTCATAGATTTATTATGATAAAATAGGCTTAGCTTAGAATATGAATAATCGCATGGTGTGTTAGTGTGCAATCAATTTGTGGTAGATTAATTACAATTCCACTTCCTAATATTACGTTAAGCCAATTTTACCCGTAATTATGATTGAGGCATTTACCACTTTACTTTCTTAGAAATTATTTTAGTAGGCATGGCAGAGAAAAAGAAACAACGGCATGATATTTTAGCGCTTGACGCTTGGCCGGAGAAATGGAAAAGAGAGTTTCCATATATTATACACGATAAGAAAACAGGAACCGCAATCTGCACGTATGTTACTTACATTTCTGAGTTCATTATAAGAAAATCAGACAATATGGACCTTTGATCGAAGAATTCACAAACAAGGAGGCAGTAGTGATGGAATGGCAGAATCTTCGTCATGATCTGCATATTCTCCAAATACCGGCTATGGAGAACGTAAGTTCTAATCGGTAGCTACCATTTGTATTTATTTGTCATATGCTTCTGATCTCTCATCCAACACACACGCACTTAGCTTCGAAGCATATGAAACCTAATTTAATATATGCAAATAAATTACAGGTATGCAAGTACTTAGCGGCAGCGCCCGAGTACCCATGCTTTCAAGTGCTGGGCAAAGTCCTACAAGTTTTCGCAGCCGGTACCTCGGGGGCCGAACGAGGGTTTTCTTCAATAAACATAATTAAGACGAAACACAGGTAAAAATTATTATAACAATTTTGAAAGTATGAGAATTTGAGAAAACTTCTTACTTATTTATTTAGAAAATAGGACTATATTTGATATTGATGAATACCACTTTTGTAGGAATAGGCTTAGCAGCAGACACCTAACAATGCTTGTGAGATGTGGCGAGGAGACATCCATAAAAGCAGACAAAGCGGAATCATTCTTCAAGGATGTCTTGCAACATTGGAAAGATTCCAAGCTACGTCGCCACGAACAGGCTGCAGAAGCCACGCCATCCGTTTTCATTCGTTCGCTTTTGTATTTTTATTTGTGAATAAAACAAATGTGTGAACTGTGCAATTTTATTACTTGATATCGAAGCCTTGTAACTTTCTCTCGTTGAAAACAAGGGTTGACCCCCGAGATATTTGGTGGGCCACTCATGCAAAATGTATGTTATGTTTTGAGAAAAATACCGTCGTTACTTTTAAATAAAAAATTGATAATTATCCGATTGGTTCTGGCTCCGCCTGCAAATCCTTTTATGCACAGACCTCATGTAGAAACACCATGTAACAGTTATCTGAAACATTAATGTAATCCTAAGGCGAAGTTTGGTATCGATCTATGGCCGGCAGTAACACGAATGTGCAAGGCTTTGCTGGTCATTCGAGCAATTGACTCCGGTGGTTGATTGCAGGAAAGTTTCGTTCACGACAGGTGTGCCAAGCAGGTGTCCTTTCGTTAGTGATGAATTTGCTTCAAATCGCGACAGGTGTGCTCAGCAGGTGTCTTTCCTTGCCGATGAATTCTCTCGTTTTAATCAAGATTTAAAGGAACAGAGAGACTCTTTTTAATTCGCGAAATTCACAGAATGAGCGCTGTTTCCGGTATTTATGTCTGAAATGAGTTATAACAAAAGCTAGGGCACCTAACTTGTTAAAATCGAAAAAAGCACTTTGTTGTTAAAATCGAAAAAAAGCACTTTCGCACTTTTTTTTTCGACTGCGAAGCACTTTCGCACTCATAATTTCCTTAGAGTTAACACTGATGCCCACCACTTAACCCAGTAATGAAATGAAATGCTTAACAAGGAAGATTCTGGCCCGTTCTAAGACAGTAGCTCATCACATATTAGTGGAATCCTGTTTGGAATGGAAGAAAGGAAAATCACTAAATTAGGGGTCGGCAACCTTTTGTCGCTCGCGGGCCAAAATAATGGTTGCCAGTCATTGACAGGCCGCACATATTTTTAGAAAGTTGAAAACTGAACGGATGATACTTTTTATTATAAAAATGGAGCAGTGATACATATCTCAAATAGAATATAGATTTATTTCCTCATTGCATTGCATTTTTGGCGCCATTGAACCCTTTGCACTTAGCATCAACTTTTCTACGTTTTGTTTCCGTTTGTCTAATTATAATTAAATTATAGGCTCATTAAACGAGTAATTGTGATTTTTATACTTGTTAGATTTTAATATAATTTAGTCTACACGCGTCTCACAATGAATTGTGTAACGTAAAAAATATAATCGTCAAAACAGCTGTTTTGTTACTATAATTCAGGAAAGCGTCACAGGCCGGATTATGTTACTCCGCTGGCCTGATCCCCGGCATTAAATGTTTCACTTAATAATTATAATTATCTATCTGACGCTATTCTTTCTGTATTCAATATTTAGCTGCACCCAAGAAAACAGAGACAAAGCCAGCTATGACTTCTGTCAGAAACAAGGGTTCATCCAATAAAGGTATGATGTTACACTAGTCTTTCATCACTTTGGAGAATTACGAGTTATTTTAATCCACTAATTACACTGTAATTTTATGAAGTTTAGAGCTTTTTCCAAAAGTACGATAGGCCATGATTTGTCAAATAGTTATGTCCCTGGACTGAATATGAATAATCCTACCATACTGCTCAATTTTTTTTCAAAAATGATCAAAAACGAATAAAATGGCCTTCTTTTGCAGAAAACAAACCAATGCTATCTCCTCAGAAACTCACACCAGTTCTCAAGAAAACAATGAAACCTATAGCAACACAATCACTGCCAACAACACCTAAAACCTCTTCGATAATCAGGAAATCTCCTATATTAACTTCACATAAACAGCCAGGAAAGTTTATCCAGTCAGGATGGATGCCTCCAGGTAACATGGGATGTTTGTTGTACCTACGGTTAGGGCTGGGCACTTCGATTCGATACAAATATTAAATGATTCGAATCGGTTCAGAGCAAAATTTCGAATCGCCGCCATCTTGTTTTTCTATTCCCACCAATGGTCGAGGGGAATTCCCCAATTTTTTTTATTAAAGCCCTATTTTTTTACTGCAATTCTGACACTATTTTCTTCTGTGAATTATTGATAAATAAGTGTTTTTTTCATTGTGTGTGAATGTAATCTGTCCAAGTGATGTATTCTATGTTTTCAATAATTCATTTGTTGACAGGACCAATTACATATCTTCCATTGACTTCCAAGTTTTCGAGATTCGATTCGAGAAAAATATTTGTTTCGATTCTGGGGTCATCAGGTATTCGAAAATGCCCCGTCATCACTGCCAGTGTTGGACAGGCTCAAATAGTTGACTCGAGTTAATTGTTGGCCCTAATTATTTGACATATAGGCAGCATTTTTTGTAACACTGTTTACGCTGGTTGCAAAAAACCACCCGGGGGGAAGTTTCGGCCATAACATTAGGATTTAGTTATCGGGCCAACCTAGGCCGATAGATTCCTTATTAGATTTGTATGATGCCTATATTGTTAGCATATATTCCCGACCAAAAAGATAACAAGCCAGTTAAAAATTTAGACTAGCCAAGCATATTATTTTCAACTTCGCTAGTTGCCTCAGCTGGCCTCAATTCAGTGACATTAGTGATGTAACAATATGTCAAAAGATTTTTCTTGTCATTTTCATGACGAACAACAACAAATGCGATTTTTGTTCACCCTCTCGAAACTGTGACGCGGGCCACAGATAATGAAACAGCGGGCCACGTGTGGCCCACGGGCCCGGGTTAGGACCACCCTGATTTAGACTCAACTAACAACCAGCGAGAATTAGCTAAAACAGGGGTCACCAAACCAGAGTAGATAATTTTTAAACTACAACTTCTAAGAGGGCAAAATGATAATTGACCCATTGATTTATACACAACTTTCCGAAACACAACCAAAAATTAACGAATAGCATTCAAAATCGCCAACACAAGGTATTGTTTACAACCACGACTGAAAATCTGTCTGAGCAGAAGCAAGAAGGCATATTGTTACATCACGTTTTCGCATCTTGCTGATTGGCCAATGTTACAAAATATACAAGAAAGTCGATTCTCGGGGGAAAAAAAATTCTTTGGAAAAAATTTTCGCCCTTTATTCATGTTATTGCGAGGGCTGGGCATTTTCGAATACCTGGAGATATATAATTGTATGTAACTTTCTTCTTGTATTTGGTCCTCCAGACACATAAATTACTAGAAATGTAAAATACATCACTCAGGCAGATTGCTGAGCGTTCACACACAATAAAAAACACGTTTTCATCAATAACTCACTACAGAAAAGAGTCATATGTCGGAATTGCGTTGTAAGAATATGACTTCAATAAAAAAAATTGAGAAATTTACCATGACAATTGGCGGGAGGAAAATATCAAGATGGCAGCGATTCGAAATTTCGCTCTGAACCGATTTGAATATTCGATTCGAAATGCCCAGCCCTAGTTATTGCGGGCCGGATCTGGCCCGCGGGCCATAGCTTGGTGAACCATGAGCTAAGTCATTGACTCGACTAGTAACTTCTACACAACACTGACCACCACTCGTGTCTTCCACTTTTTGACACAGGACCACATTTTAAGCAGCCATTCAATGGAGTGTAAAATTGATATTAATCAGACTTGTAACACTTCATTGATACTTGTCCTCATCTTAATTAACCCATGAAGACTCGCGTCATTATACTTCTTATATAATTATGGTCTTATTTCTCTTCCTAGGGCCTGCGGGAGCAAAATCCAACATATTGAAATCTCCCCAATCACCCAGTGTTATACGAGTTGGACTCTCAAGGAATGTTCGATTGCCTCCACTACATCCAAGAGTCAATGTAAAATGAGCAGTTATGACAAGAAAAACCAAACTGTGACACTGCTGGGGCTGGCTCCTCATCGTCACCAAGGCCTGTGTATTCCGAGTAAGGGCAATATGTCCACTACATCAAAGAGTAAATGTAAAATATGACAACAAAAATATACCCAAGAATATTAGACCTCTGACACTGTCAAGCGGCACCCCCATTTTCGGGGAATTATCTGCAATGAACTGTGGAATTATTCAGTAGATTCTCAACTGTATCAGAGCGTAGCGTTAAAGCCACTATTCGAGCTAATTCCTATTAACTTCTTGTAATTTTCTTTAGATGAATTGGGCCTAATCAATCGCACGCTAATCTTATTGTCATGTGACCTCAATTCAAGGTGTTGTCTGTCCAATATTCAACTTGGCTGGTTTGGGGTGTTAACTAAACACCATAACCATCATTTCCGATGCTAGTACAAATACATGACCAGCCTACTAATTAATCATACTCTGTAAATATTGTATATATTTGTTATTAATATTTTTTAAATATAGTTTTTGTTGCTGAAATCAGTGTTTGTGACAGTTTCTCAGCATTGCCGGTCTATGAATAGGTGGCAATTTATATTTACACATCGCTCGCAAATTGCTTACTTGGCTGCCGATCTCTATCCTTGTTGCGCAATATCAGTTCGTTTACGGCTTGGCTGCAGTTTAGGACTGAGCTAGCCATTCCTTAGAATCTTGTCGATTCGGTGACAGCACATTTGCACCCGTATATCTGCGGGTTCAATCTATTATATGCAGGTGCTAAAATAACATTACGAGTAATGGAAGCCTTAATTTTAAAAAGAAACTTTCAAATTTTTGAACTTCCCTGCGCTGCTAAATTCAAATTTGTCAAATACACATTGACCCAAAATAATACTGTAAAGTAGATTTTAACCATCCCATGCTTCCTGGGTACAAGCTTAAGGCTTACACAGCGTATATATTGATCACTGGATAGCCATAAATTAGAGGCATTCTGATAACGAAGTACGCGAAATTGTGTAATGTATCTTGAATATTGTTATTAAGTGAGCGAGGACTCGTGGAACTGTTTTAGTTTGCTCGAAGGAATGACATGCACAACCGTACCTGAATTCATGACAACACCATACAGCCACCAGATTGTATTACAAAACAACTGTTTAAGCGTGATAAATTTTAGTACCTACATTTAAAAAAATACCACAATTCATTTATCGAAAAAGTAGTTCAGTACAATAAAAGACACGTTTTCATGGGCACAAAAGTGAAAACGATACGGGTGTTACAGATACATGTAAAAGTCATAGTATTGGGATCGAATAGGTCTTTTTAATTCTACAGCACCATCAAACTAAGAAACTTATGCTACAAATATTGAAAAGATGTACAAAGGCTTAAAAGTTAAAACTCTCATTTTACGGGAAGAGTTATGCTTGTTTCTAAAATGCTTTCTGAAAACTATCTTCAACTTAGGAATATTTAGCTTCAAACAAGAAAAGAATGTGTACAGAGGTCTTGAGAGTAGGTCGAGAATTCAAAGACTGGATATTGTTTTATAAAAACTAAGGAGATGAAGTCATCTTATCAATCAAAAACCCTAATGATTAATTACCGGTAAGTAGAATGGAATATGACGTGGTGTGAAGCCATGAATCACTCTTTCAGAAAATTGCTGTCGTTTTAAGCATTTGTCGCACTTGTCAAGTGGACAGAGTGATTTTTTGTGACTTTCAGAAAAAAGACTTCACCAATGCAAACATAACGAGCTTCAATGATCCGTGGTAAAGAATCAAAGATTTATACAAGCACAAACTTTTTATCGAAATATAACTCAGCCCTGGAGATATAACAAAGTATCCTTATTCACGCCCATTACTCAGGAAAGAGCCATATTCAGGTGGGTACTTATGTCCAATGATATGCAACGAGCTAGTATTTATATACAGCAAAATATCCCCAAAGCATGTTAGTTTTATATTGAAAAGTCAAGGAGCGGGCTCAGCATAAAATGTTGTAAGGATAGCTTCCCAAGGAGAGCAAACTTGACAATACAACTCCTCCTTTTGAACAACTCAACTACTCCTAAGGAGGAGAAAGAGTCCAGGACATTAAATAACCTGAAAAGTGTTTTTTTGCGAGACAGAGAGAGAAGTAAGATCATTTTGTTACTGTTAATATTAACTTCATTTTGAAAGTACTTTACAATTACTTTACTGAAGATTGGTCATCTAATGCATTGGTTCCCAAAGTTGATTGAAGGGGTCAGCATTAGAAGCTGAAGGATATTCGTGAGCCAAGAGCAGGAGGCGCTCCAAAAAGGCTTGATACTGATACATATAATTAAGATACCGGTATAATTGAATGGTTAAGAATATTCCCAATGCTAAACTGTGGTAATGACGTAACAATAGGCAGTATCTGGAACGCAAAAAGGTAAACACATGTGGCGTTAAGCTATTCAAAGGTTGTCAAGCCATATTAAATCGTTACGCGGGTCAAAATTGGCTCGCGGGCCGAGGTTTGGAAACCGCTGGTTTAACAAGAGGAGAGTTAATGAAATGGCTTCATAACATTGTTTTTAACTTTATTTTAAGTTTCACTTGTGAATTTTATTAAAATATGCTGACTGAAAAATTGTAAGAACAGTTTCTAATGGGGAAGTGGAAAAATGACGGGGGAAGTGGAAAAATGACGAGATGGCAAGTCTCTTTTGTTACAAGAGAGTGAATGTCCTGGGAAGTGGGGAGTTGATAAGACGACTTAGCAAAACAGCCATTTTAGGCTTTTTTCATATGTTTTTTACATATAGCTTCGTTTGGGATCGGATTCACATATCCCTTAATGTCGTCGGCACTGGTGACCTTTGACATCCGCCGTGCCACGGATATCGAGGAGTGCCATGCCTCAACGCATCTTGTACCCATTCGATTCTGTGACTTCACTCAGTTGCCCTTTGAAATCGACGTCAACGGAGATATCCAGATCTCTCTGTAAAAAGAAAATATGCAATTTGTAAAATACCAGGATTTTCGTTATTTTCAGGTCTTGGATTTTTTGCCAATAAAATTAGAAATCATCCTAATAATGACACTCTCGATGCTCGATGTTTTATAAGAAAAGAACATTACTGCCCTGGAACTAGGAACTACTTACTGAAAATAATATAACAGGGTAGCTATTTTGGGACCTGATTTGAAATCCCGGGATTATTAAAATTTAAAATACAGACACTCGCAATATATGATATATTGCCTGTGTGTGTATTTCTAATTTTAGCAAATAGCAACCCCTAGTGTCGAGCCTAGTTTATTATTCCAACCAGTGTAAACCAATCCCATGCAGATTACTAGTGCAGGACATTTTGTTTTCGCAATCTCACAACTCTTCTATCAGAACTCTTTTTCGTTTTGATTGAGTGCTCAGGACCTTGCTTTGAGCAAAATGCAACTTTTCTATCTGTACTATTTGCTTGGATGCTCGTGAGTAAACTTAAGTATAAAGATGGGGGATTGGAGACTGATTCAATTAAAGAAACAGCCTTGTCTTTACTGCCTCGCATACCTTGTTTCTAGGATTTGGTTTCATAGTGAAAGTTCCAAACAGTTCTTCTCCTCTGTAAGCTGTGATCTGGTCCTTCATATAAAACACAGTCTGTTTCCAGTGGGTGTACGGCGCATCAGGAGCTGGAAAAGTTTAAAGGACGTTACTTGTGAATTAATAGCTCGGCTAGTCAGTAAATTTACAGAGTAAAACCTAACAGTTAGAATTTTCAACCTAACTAAATTGGCACTGCAGATTGAGAATTTCAGGTTTAAATCCTATTGAGCAGTTGTTCCCAAGGTTGAATAGCGAGGGCTATAAATAAAAGCGGAAAGATATTCGCAGGCCAGGAGAGGGGAGCTCTGCAAGAGGCCGATACCGGTACGTATAATTAAGATACTGGTATAATTGAATTGTTAAGAATATAACGAGAATATCGGTCAGAGACCGAAGACTTATCGATCAAAAGTTAGGGGATCCCCCAAAACAGCGCTCTTACTCCATAGTGACTCCTTGTGTCCCATCACTAATTAATTAATAACTCGCTAATTATACGACATAATTCGCCAAAAATCAATAGGCTTCTGGTCTGAGATAAGATGAATGCACATGCAAAATCTGGAGCAGATTCAATCTCGCTTTCGTGAGATATCGCGTGCATCTAACAGACAAACAGACATACATACATACAGACAGACAAATACCTATCAACATACTTACCGATTAAAATCGATAAGTAACTAGATTAAACTGTGATAATGGTTTAACAATTGGCAATATCTACTAGACAAAAAGAGAAAAAAAAAAGCATATAGAATTAATAAATTTCACTAGAGTTCAGCAGGCCATATTAAATCGTTACCGCGGTTTGGGAACCACTGCACCAGAGAATGAAATAAATTGCCAGCAGGAAGATTCTTCCAAAAATAGTTGATTTTAGATGCATGGATTTGATGGAGGATGAAGCCTTAACTGACAGCTGTTAAGCGAACCACTATTTTTTATGAAGTGGTCACTTGTGCTGTGTTTAGACTAGAGATGAAATTTACTAGCTGGCCAAGTAGCTCGAGTGTTGGTATAACAATATTGGTATGTCCGCTGTGGTTTTCCTCTCCCCCAGAATAAATATACAAAACTAATTGAAAATCTTCGCTTTTTGTAAAAAAAACTAGATAAAAATCAAATAAAGATACATACCAGTTGAAAATCCAGTCCTTTTGTGACATTTTGTGAATTCGACGTTAAAAAACGAAACAAGTGCTTGAATGTAGTCATTTCTCGTCACCACTAGGTGGAACGGTGAGGTAAATGAAAGATCCCCCTCAGTGACTGTGTACAGATCAAGTTCCTAGTAAAAACAGAAAGCTAGTGATTAATAACTATTAATTAGCGTTGAGAATGATGTAATGTATAAAAAATGTAGAGCATGCACACACGCGAAGCAGCGCTTGGTATGCTATGACAGCAATAACAGTCTGTGATTGGTTGTCATGCATATAATCGCTTATGTTATGTGTTTATGCTATGACAGCAATAACAATTTGTAGGGTCAGCTTATTACTTATCGATCTTGATCGGTAAGTATGTTGATAGGCATTTGTCTGTTTGTTTGTCTTTCTGTTAGACACTTTTGTATGTTATGCGATATCTCACGAAAGCGAGGTTGAATCTGCTACAAATTTTGCATGTGCATTCATCATATCTCGGACCAGAAGCCTATTGATGAATTATGTCGTATAATTAGCGTGTTATTAATAATTAGTGATAGGACACACGGTGTCGCTATTGAGTCAGAGCAAAGGATACATTTCGCTAAATCGATAAGTCGGTGGTCTCTGAGCGCTATCTCATATGGGCATTTTTAGAGCTGTTTTAGGGGGTGAGCGGCTAATATGTGAGATTGGCTTACTACTTGTTGAAGTGTTGGACATAACTGTTTTTGCATTACAGGTAAAAAATCCTGGGGGAAACTACATCCAGAGTGTATTAAACTTGGTAATCGATGCTCAAATGATAAGCAGCTCCCCACATTACAGTGGATGCCTGATTATATCCATGTTTGCAGTGAGAGGCATCAGTTATTCGATAAGTACACAACATATATCAGCAATTTTGGAATGCTATGAACTCGGTATTTCCTTAAACATAAAGATTTGGAAAAGTCGACCCAGAGTTGAAGAAAATTTTAATCTGATTTTGAACTTTTAACCTTTATTCCAGCTCTGGAGAAAATTGAACTTTGATGAAATACTTCGGTATATGCACAAGCGTGCATCAATATATTTTTTAAAATGCATAGTAAACTTCTTTCCGAGTGAAACTCTCAACTTGGGGGAAATCCGAAATTTACAATATTCTCCAATAAAAGTACACATACAAATCCAACAAACAGCATTTACCTTCACAAGACAAGTGTTGGTCACAACCTGTTTGGCTTCCACGACATCAACAAGAGGTTCAGATATGGCGACCTGGAAATAAATTAGAAAACTGTGGTTTGTGTTTAATGTTGCTACTACACAGCTCAGAATAAGAAAAACAAGTTAGACATAAGCAGGAGTGTCAGAAAGCTCGCTATTCTGAATACATTCTAAGCAGTGGTTCCCAACCTTTGATGACCTTGTGGGCCGTGGCCCTCTTCCGGAGACTTTTAGCACTCAAGGCCCCGTTTGTCATTAGTGGTACTTATAATTTTATTTTGATTGGTTGATTCCAAATCCCATTATGTTCAAACAATTCATGCTCAACAAAGTGAAATAACCTTGTCAAGCAATGAAACTGGAAAGAAAGGGGACTTTTCTTGTAAGGGAATAGTAATAAATTTTTCGTCTAGCATTGTGGCCCCCTTCAACAACTTTGCGGCCCACTTTGGGGGCCATGGCCCTGTTTGTAAACCGCTGTTCTAAAGTAATATCTATGGGTTGGAAAGTACGAAGAAGATCAGATAAAACATGATTTAAATGGTTTCCTCATTTTTTTTTATAGTTTTCAGAAATGCAAAGGAAGGCCTTTTCAGCCATACCTAACAAAACCCAAATTTTGAACTACTGTCCCCTCTCTTGGTCTATGATACTGGATATTGGGAATGATATAACATAACTCACATCCTTTATACAGCTCATATCAAATCCATAGACATCGTTCCACCAGTTGATTTTGTCTTCCTTGTATTGTCTGTCTTCAATTGCTGTCACATACAACACCGCTCTGTCTGGGAAAATTAATCCGTCTGGTGCAAGCCATTTGTCTCTGTGAAAGTATTTAAAAAGGGTTTATGATTAGTAGCGTAGGTTTTTACAGGGTGTCTTTATACAATAATGACAAAAAAGTCTCGGAATAAGTGGTTCCCCAAGTTGATTGACTGGGAGCCAAAATTGAAATCGGAAGAATATTCGAGCGAAAGGAATGTCTGCAAGGACTGATGCTGGAACGTATAATCAGGATACAAGTATAAATGAATTGTTGTGAATCTAAACAAGCTCAAACTTTAATAATTATGTAAGAATTGGCAGTATCTATAACGCAAAAATGCAGAAACATGAACTTTTTCACTTAAGTTCGACAGGCCATATTAAATCGTTATGTAGGCCGTAATTGGCTTGCGGTTTGGGAACCACTGCTCAAACAAACAGCCATTGATACATTGTTAAATTTGAAAAGGGTAGAACGATGGGCATAAACATAAAACACATGCTTCTAAAAGAATTATAAAAAATTTGTAATCACTAACAATTTTATACCATCACTCAGCAAAGGGTATCTTATAGAGACATCCCTACTGATATGGATAGTACAGGGTTTTCTTCCAGGATTCTGCATTGTCATTCATGCCAGAGAGATGTTGGGGGTGGGCACAAACCAAAGAAAATGAAAACTAATATCCAAATTTGAATTTACAAGCCTACCTTGCATACAGCACAGTGTTCAGCATAGATTCATACAGCAAGCAATATCCCATCCATTCGCTGAGTATAATGTCAACCTTCTCAACCGGTAACGTGACTTCCTCTACCTTGCCTTTGATTAGGGTGATCACTGAATGAGAATAAACAATTTTATGCAGGATCTGAGTGAGACCACAAACAGTCAACTGAAAGAAGTAACTGAATAACGAGAATATCGGTTGGAAACCGTAAGACTTATCGATCGATAGTTAGGGGATCCACCCAAAACAGAAACTGCAGTTTCGATTCATCCGCTCTTGTAACTTGCGCACTGCGCATCGCACACACACACACGGCGGGTCTCAAAATTCCCTCGCGCTACAAAAATCTAGATCACTATATCAATAATTGATTGATAACTCGCTAATTATACGACATAATTCGCCCAAAATCAATAGGATTCTGGTCCGAAATAAAATGAATGCACATGCAAAATCTGGAGCAGATTCAATCTTGCTTTCGTGAAATATCGCGTGCATCTAACAGACAGACATATAAATACCTATCAACATACTTACCGATTAAAATCGATAAGTAACAATGTATGCGACCAATTACATGCGAATCCTAGATGCAGATCTACAAATGCTTAAAACATAAATTGATATTATGTCTGTGGATTTTGGAATAGGGCACTCACTCTGGGGGAGATGAAACATTACATATTATTGGCTTAATCACTTGGTTGACGCAGAACTTTCTCAAGTCAATACCGCCACGACATTAAATGTCTTTGCATTGGGGCAGAGTGATAGAGAATTTAAAATATGAATATACGAGTCTTTGATATCGTCTGATAAGTCTTTTATTTTCACATATAAATAGTATATTGTTCACTTGAAGATGTGGGTTGATGGCATTCACAGCGATTTTCCAACAGGCTAGATCTGTTTTGAATTCACTTTTGTGATCAATTAGAGTTAAATAAAGCAATCACTTGCTGAGCTCAGATTGACAACGGTGTTCCTATTTTCGTTCTTAGAGTACTGTCGAGTTCCATGCAATACAAATTATTATTCTATTGTTTGATGGCGTGTAAAAATAGAAGAAATAATTAACCTAGTCTAGACAGCCTTACCACAGGTCGTGCTGATGTATATATTTTAACATCGCTCTCTCTTTTTTGTCAATGCACAAGACACGACTATGAACTATTATCACAATAAATACGTAACCACGCCCAAAAGTTGTGAAATAACTTACCATGATCCAACTTATTAGCTTCGATGATCTTCTGAGCATAATCAACAATGCTTGAACATTCTATTCCAATAACTTTGGCCGCTCCAGCTTTAGCTGCAAACATTGACAAGACTCCTGTGCCGCAACCAACGTCAAGAACAACCTAGAAAGTAATGACAATGTTAAAATGCAAGGAAGTTCCTTCAGAAAAAATTTACTAACTTATTGAGGCTGCAAGAAAGGTAGGTCGATTCATCCTTTCCCACCCAAGAGAAATTGGTTCAATGAAGGAAAATTATCTTTGTGCTTGCATGTTGAATGTAATAGTTTTACTCATTTGGTTTTATAAATTATTTATAAATAGTTATGCATGCATCATAAGCTATTCTAATCATACGATAGCCACAGTGTGAGAAGCACTCATCAATAGGTAATTATACAATAAGTACCGAACAAAAAACAAAAACGAGTTTTTGTGTCGAGTGTGGGAGGAATGAAGAATTTTAAAATAGACAAAAGAAGAGAATGTATCGAAAAAGGTTGGAATCTTTGGGTCAATCATGAAACATCCTTTTACCAATATAACTTGGAATCCCTCCTACATTTCCCAATTATTTATCTCACAAGGCTAGACTAGGGAATAATTTCATCCTCACATAAACGCAAAAGTGGTGCTGTTTCACACTTTCTTGTTTAAGCTACATCAAACTAACTTGACGAGAACCAAAATCAAATTGTGTTTTTATATAACACCTACCCACGTCTTTTGCTCCGAACACGGCCATGTATAAGCAACCGTTTAAGGACTAATTTTGGAGGGATCTGTCTTGGACAAATAAAAAAAGTCGGGGCTCCCGAAGTATGCGAACCAAGATGGCGGACATCGGAATGTAATATGTGTACTAGGTTAGGGTTAGGCCATAATTTTAGGTATAAATACTACGGGAGGCTCTTGGCTAGTCTTCGAACTGATAATTGGACTAAAATAAGGAAAATTGGAAAAAAATTACCGCCTAACCCTAACCTGTTACCCATGTTACGTTCCGATGTCCGCGGGAGCACCAAAAAGTCCATAAAAAATGAACAATACCTTTCCTCGAAACAGATGTTTATTATGGTAGATTGAATTTCTGTAGGTCAATGTTCTAACTTCATCTTTCAACATTTCCTCGTGGATTCCAAAATGAGCATAGGAGTCGAAATAATAATCTTTTGACGTCATTTTTTCTGGAGCAATCTTTCCAACAGATTCTTCTCCCTCTGGTTCTTTTGCTGGGAGACCATCTTGCTTGGCAACCTTCGATAAAAATGTTTGTTGAAAATCTCATCTATTGACCCACATTAGCAACAGAGTAAGATTATTGCATAGATAGGATTTTTTAATTTGCTCCCAGGTGAGAGAAGTCAATAAAACAAAAAGCTTTGGTCAGGCTACCATCCTATTTCAGGTCAGAGAAAGAAAGAGATTTATTGCCACAAAACAAAGTCAACACTATTATAAACATAATACAATAACCAAAATACTTCAGCAGTAATAACAGTGATTGTTACTTATCGATCTTAAGATCGGTAAGTATATTGATAGGTATTTGACTGTATGTCTGTATGTGTGTGTGTCTGTTAGATGAACGCGATATCTCGCGAACGCGTTGTTGAATCTGCTCCAAATTTTGCATGTGCATGCATCTTACCTCGGACCAGAAGCCTATAGATTTTGGGTTAATTATGTCGTATAATTAGCGAGTTATTAACTAATTACCGATCTAAGATCGATAAGTCTTCGGTCTCCGACCGATATTCTCGTTATTGCTTTGTGCGGGTCAGTGTGCAGGACCGATTAAAGTCAGCAAGGCTCCTGACCCTTGTGTATATGCTGTATATAAGACTATCATGGTATAAAATAGTAGCATAGGTGGATGCGAATAAGATTAAATATAAATAAGATAAAATGAGTGAACGAGTCAGCAATTTAATGGTAATATGAAAGTTATTAAAGGCAATTTAGGTTGAAGGGTATATTTTTTCGTTAATGGTCAGTTCTCTCATTCCAAGAATAGGCCCCAAATCAAACCACGTCCATTTTAATGGTGAGCACGAACCCCTCATTTACGAGCCAATATGTGTCTTCATATCGACTCAAAACGTCACACTTGCACTACGCAGTAAACTGAAAAAAAGCGCAATCCAAAAACGTCACTATTGGATTCCATGAAAAAATAATCTAACTTACTGAAGGAAAATTTTTTTCTGGTAGCATTCGAGAGTTTCTCGTAAAAACGTAATTTGCGTCATGTGACTGCCGACACGCGTTTCGATTAAGACAAGCTTGGCCAGATAACATAGTTTCAGAGACAAATAGAGTGTTAAACCAACGTTGGGACATCTTGGAATAGGATAACTGTGCCCAGCTGATGGTCATCAGTTTCCGATATGAAAGACTGAAAGAGTTTGACTAAATAGATCAGACCTCAAGTTGCTAAATTTAACAAATAATTACCAATCAGTTTGGGAATCGAATTATTAAGCTCAAGCAACACACTGCCAATTGCTGGATTTTCCTGTCTGTTGACAGGTTCGAATCATTATTCGCCAGTATGTAAACAAAAGTATGAAAAATACCCGAACTACATCAACAAAATGTCAATATCAAAATGTAATAATTATATCTAATGCAGAATTGTGAGTCAGTTTGCATTACCGCAGGCAGGGTGGCTTCTCCTACACTGACCAACCATTATTGGAAATATTATCTGATACAGTATTTCTCCAATCCAACCCAAACGAAAAACAGGGGTTTGTCATTACAGCATTAATTTATTACCTAGTGTACGGTAAACTAGTATATTAGAAGTATGTTAAATCTCCCACCTTAGTGGCCGGCTCCAGTGTTGCTACAGGTGATATTTCTTGTGGTATACACTCCATTTTTTGTGAAAACGCGAAGAAAAGATATCTATTAAATACAATACTGGCTAAGAAACGTAGACAGGTGCACGATAAACAACGAGAAATAAGGAAATTGAGGTCCAGACTGTGACGCACGTGTGAAACAACCACTAGGAGCGGTATAGAACAGCTTTAGTGTATCCTGAAATATGTTAACGACGAAAGAAATAATTAAAAATTATATAATAGTAATGAATCATAAAATTGCTTGCAACAATTGTAGATTTTGGACAATACTATAACATTTTATGAAGGCCTAATATTTATCAAGAGAGAGAGAGAGAGAGAGAGAGAGATTCTATTTCGACAAACAACGTTAACAAGCAGTAGAAGAATATTGCCAAAATATTTTGACAAATACTACTGTCTTATCGTTTTTATGGTAAATCTGTTACATAGCTAGAAAAGACGAAATATATAAAAAATAAACATGTTCAATATGAATATGTTGACGCTATCGGCCAAGCTACAATACCACGGAGACTATATATTTCGAGCAATTTTTTAATTGGCAACACGTTTTTATTTTATTATATATTCAGATTCTGTGTTTTTTTAAACTTCGTGCACTTCCATACCGAACTGCCTTTCCTCAGTTGTTTCACGGTATATTACGTTGATCGTCGAATCAAAATTAACCAGATTTCATATCAGTTTTTATATGCTTATACCAACCATTTTTTGCCTGGTATTCTGATTATGATCAAAATAAAAGTTATAAAAACTGCCTTGGTGGTGGTCTGAAACAAACCTGTATCATTGAACTGTTTAATCTACTTGAAATTACAACTAGAAGCGTAAAGTCAGGCACTCACTAGAATGCATTGCACGTCAGTAGGAAAATCAATATCGAAATGGAGCCTAAAACTGTCCTCATTCACTTACTTTATCTGATTGTCAGGCTGCCCGTACTACGAAAGATTTTATACGCTCTGAAACGCACCATGTTTGCAACCTTAATAGGCACTTACGATATTTTTATACCTCTTCCCCCCAGTTACAAAACACTATGTGAAAGTGAAGCTATCATTCTGGAATGACAAGAAAGAACACATGAAAAAAAAATCTGGTTCAATATGAAAAAAAAATGTAAAAAAAGAAGCTTCAATCCTCCCAGTCAGAAATATTTGGTTGATTGTTTTTCTTTAAAATTACCCAGGATTGTAGCTTATTGCATAGGCTACCTAAAATGATGAAATATTATTTCATAATATTCATACATCACAAATTGAAAATATTCCATTCCACTTGTGAATCTTTTTGCACAGAAAGAAAAAATTCAATAAACTATCCAAAAACATCCATTCCGAATGTCAAGCAGACACCCTTTCTGAATTATCGTTTGCACACAGCCTGTGTTTAGAGCAAACTCATTAACAGAATGATAGCAAAGAAATTTGTAGAATGCAAAACCAAAGCAATTGGTTTGAAAAAATAAATGACAACGAATTCATTACAGAATGGGATTTTCAGAATTGGTTTTGGCATCTCCTTTCACTCTGAGGGAGATTTTTTAAAATTTCTTTGAATTTGTGTATCTATAGTTCATTTTTTCAGTATGGTGAAGAAATAAATTACTGATTTCACATTCAACTATGAATGAAGTAAAGCGGATAAAATGGCTTAATTATATATTCTGCCATCCAGTTACCATTCCATGTCAGGCATATATTTAGTTAACAAGTAATTTGATTCAGATGCACGAGCTTTCATGCACACGTCAAAAACGATAATTGAATTTCATCAGAGATTAGGCATTTAGACAGCTAAGGCAGGTGGTTAGAGTGGAAATATAAAGGGGCTTCATGATAAAATATAAGCCAAACAGGTTTCTCTCAAAGAGAGTAAAATCCACCATTAAGTTAAAGTTCCTATGATATAAATTCTGTTTTTTGTTTGGATGAATTTGCTCAAAGTAATAGAGTAAATAAGTAACTTAGTAATAAAGAAGAATGATCTCTAAGCAAAATTACAATGGCGGACTGAAGTGCTTCGGTCAATTTCCACTTATTTCTGACTGGGATTCTTTATCATTCAAGATCTTCGGGTTTGACAGGTTCTTTGAGCGGAATGATTGATTTTTTGAAAATGTCACGGCTGAGTGCTTTTCTCATATCAAAAGCGTCTTCATCTCTATCGCCTCCAGGTGATGAATAATATCCAATAACAGTTCGATAGACTGAATAGCCCAGACGTTTGTACATCCCAACAGCAATCTGAATAAAATAAATGTTAAATGAGAACTATGGACTGTCACTCTAAATATGGATATAGTAATATTTCTGAGCGCCAAAGCACAAACAATTGACACCACACAAATATCTCCATTTAGCAAGCATGAGCTTACTGTAATCAATGTTCTTTTAATGGCACAATTTTTATAAAAAATCCATAAAATTTGGATTAAAATTGCAAACAACCCTTTCTGGGAGTCATTTTTATCTCAAACTACTTCAATAGAATGAAGATCAACAGTCACAATTTAACAAAGCGTTCAGGGGGAGAGGTAGCCAGTTTGATCGTATGGCAAACCACAGTCACTCGTCCGGTTACCATTCCATGTTGGGTATCGGTTTAGTTCGCCAGTTATAGAGGAAGTCGAAACCGACCAGCAGTTACGTGAACCACCCCACGGTAACGAGAAGTCCAGCAATCCTCTCACACATAATTATCCCCAACCACACCACAAAACGGGATTCAAATGTGCAAACTTGTGCTATAGCGATGATATGCCAACTGTCGTGAAATTGAGAAAACATAGGGTGTCCAGAAAGTCTTAAGAATTTTTAAATCTGCAAAGGAAATTTATCGATACCATATATGGTTTGGGCCCTCACAGATGCATTAAATGAAGTGAAAATACTTTACAATTACTGACTAAGAAACAACAAACCTGATTGAGATATATTGAGAACTGACTACATAACAACAAAATTGAAATTGTAAAGGGAGTTTATGGACACGCTGTACTTAATAAGAACACTTAATCATACCTCATTTGACTTCCTTACAAATAGATCCACGAAATATCCTTGTTTCTGCTCTGAAACTTCCTCCAGTCTTCGCATTAACTCTGCTGCTAGTCCGAGACGTCTGTACTCTGGCGCCACGGTTACTGCTGTCACATGACCATGCCATTCTTCAGGCTGACGCCCTTCGACCTTGAGAAGGAAGTAACATTAATATAAAGTCCATGAATCAGAAACAACTACCTCATATCTATTCCCATACCTGACATGGAATGGTAACCGGACAAGGCCCGAGTCCACCATATGATTAAGACATTTTATTGTTTTCCTATCACATATGATAAATATTAAAATCCTATCCTATGTTGGAAATTATGGTTTCAAACATAGAATTTTATATTTGAACTTGAAACTTTCGAAATCAAATTTATTCACATAATCAGACAAGGATGGCAAAAATTCATCAGTTGTTAATGTTCGATAAAGTGTTTTGCTGATTTTAGAATTTCAAAATTGGTCATTTGAGAATTCAAGATATGATCCTCACATAAGATAAGCTCCATTTACAGACACTGTAAAAATTAATCAAAACAACATTTATTTCAACTACTTTGCATTGATGTATTCAAGATTATTGAATATTAAATGACTTGAGTATCTTAATTGTCGAAACTGACCCGATTTTCGATTAAAGAGTTAGATTAAACAAATTGAAAATTATTGCGATCAGAAATCTCTATTTTTTAGTAATTCAGATAATCAAATGATTCCAACCTTTCCCATAATATATCCCATAGTTTCTCCAGATGGTGACTCTGCAATTGTAAAAAACTCTGGCCATTTTGCAAGATATTGAAGATAAAATGAAAGTCCGTAAGTTTCTGTCAAAGGATCTAGGTTCACATTGTTGAATTTCAAAAGGTCAAAGCAGGTAAAAGGTCGATAGAAGGTCATCCTATATAATATTCTACGCTGTACAAAAAGAGAGAAAAGTTTTACTGATTTATTTTGTATTATGGGATTGGCCACCTAATCACTTAGAAATAAGCGAGACATTAATAATATAAGTATTGCCAATGATTATTTTTAAACCAAAGTGAGCTATACAATTATGGAGCATGAATTTTCAAGTTATCACCGGGAGACGGAGGCTATTAACAGGCTTAAACTTATATTGTACAAACCATAGCATCTTCTTACAATTACCAGTCCAGGTTAAATATGGGATAGTTCACCAGTTATTTGTTTCAGGTGAATGGACTTGATGGTGAATAGGGTGAATCCAAAAATTCTTCCACATTAAATCATTCCTCACCGGATTTGAACTGATAAATATTCAGTGCTAGAGGAAGAATGCTTCTTACACTTAGCATGATAAGCTAAGCTGATTCATATTAGCACTGTTTCGAAAAATTTGTAACGGACGATAGGCCAGCCTGCCATGGTATACATATTATTAAGCAATGTACCGTACCGTATATAAGTATATTTTGATTTTCTTGCAAAATACAGTGTTATCGTCTTTCCTCTCCTTGATATGAATACCGGTACTGGTATATAAATTCTATCCTATCAAATCATATTACAGTTGTAACAATATTGGCATCATACAAATCAAAGAACAGGATCTGTGGAGAAAGTGCTCACAATACGGTACCAGTACGGTAACATAAGTCTGCTAGTAGGCTACCGGTATTACAATATTATGAAGTACCAAATACCGTACAAAATGTACCGGTACTGGTACCGGTATCAAATACATTCAGAGTTATCTGCAATGTCTGGTATCTGGAAAAATGAAACTGGTTACAAGTAGTCTATCGGTAACCTAAAGTAAACTAAAACCAAATCAAAAAATAAATCCACGCAACATTTTGCCTATGCCAACTTGTGTTCATTATTGAAAAATCGTATCGCACTGTACCGGTACCGTGTCGGTTTGGGTCTCATGTATTTTCTTACCTAACATACTTCTAGTGGGTGTAACATGACAATTTTTTTACATATCAATCCTAACCCCCACCTGACCACACCATCCAAAAATTACGTCACTACGACGTCACAGTGACGTAATAGAGCCCTTCAAACTATGCGAACTGTCATCCAAGACGCGCAGACGAGAACCCGAAATCGAACAGCCATTTCTCTCGTTTTCTCGTCGCAACGATCCCAATAGGAGAGAGGTCGTTGACGTCAGTCAGTTCTTTATCGTCGGCGCCGATGCTATTTCGGGCCATCGTACGAGTATTTGGCAAGCTCTATGACGTGATTGTGACGTCATAGTGACGTAATTTTTGGATGGCGTAGTCAGGTGAGGGTTAGGATTGGCATGTCAAAAAATTGTTATGCTACGCCTACTAGAAGTACGTTAGGTACGAAACTACACGAGACCCGTCGGTTTCAGGTTTACCCGCCATCAAGTTCATGCATCTTAAACAAATACCGTAACTGCCTAATTAATCCTATACCCCAGTCTGGATTTCATGGCCTTTTTGAACGAGAAATCGGGCGTGCAATCAGAAATTCCCGCGAGCAAATAAGAATTCCTGGCGTGCAATTAGGCTATAGCTCACGACGTGCAAAACAACTGCACTCGCGTGCAACTAACTTTGACATCAGATACCTCTCAATACATCCGCGTAAAATTACCGGTATCGGATAAAATATACGTTGAATCAGAGAAAAAATGGACGTTTGACCTTTGACCCCAAACATTATTTCTACAGTTTGTCGCTAATTTTGAGAGTGTTTGTGCGACTTTGGATACCGGTACTGTTCAGTACATCCGCGTAAAATTATTGGATAAAAAATACGTTGAACCAGAGCAAAATGGACATACTTTGTCATTAATTTTGGTAGTGTTTTTACGTAGAATCAATGGATAAAAAATACGTCAAATTAGAGCAAAAAATGGACGTTTGACCTTTGACCCCAAACATTATTTTCATACTTTGTCACTAATTTTGGGAGTGTTTGAGCAACTTTAGATACCGATACTGTTCAGTACATTCGTTTAAAATTATTGTATGAAAAATACGCTGAATCAGAGCCGTACTTGGCCATTGGTGCGGAGGTGATCTTTTCGTCCATAACTATTCTCACGGGATTCCTATTTCCTATCATTCAACACGATATGGACCTTTCCCCGAGCATCGACTTCCTTGTTTACTTCGTGACATTGGCCAATCAGCAAGATGCAAAAAAGGACGTAACAATGAGAGGAATTTTTCGTGGGTCAAAGGTTGGGGAAAGGTCCATGGTCTTTTTGCTTCGCAATATTTCGATCAGACCAAATCTTGCAAGCTGGTATTTGTCGACAATTGTGGAGTTATAATATTTTGGCATCTTTAAATTACTGGATTATTGATTTTAAAACCATTTAAACCGATTTACATTGGTGAGCAATTGCAAATTTTCGGCGTGCAAAATTGATTTCGCTCGCGTGCATTTTTGCAGAGCGCTAGCGCCCTCGGGCGTGCACCTGCCATGGAATCCAGTCTGGCCTATACCCAAAATGGACTGGTATCCGGGCGAGACTCAAACCTGCGAATCCGTGCAGGGTACGTCTTATCACTTTCCTCTCCCCCGGGATAAATATGTAAATCCTTTCCCACCCTATTTTTTTGGTTGTAGAGTTCAAGATCAATTATCTTTAATGGGATAGGATTTACATATTAATCCCGGGGGAGAGGAAAGCCGATAAGACAGCTTAACCATAGGGCGAACAACGGCCTCACGTCCGGTAACCAGTTTGATAACCAACAATAATTTTTTTCGCGCCACCCTTCATCATACAATGCCTTTTTTTCATGTTTTTTCCACAGTTTTTGTCAAGTGTATGCTCATTTAAGTGGAAAATAAACTACCGGTACTGACTGACTACCTTTCCATGCCGGATACGGGGTTAGATAACCAGTTATTTGTTCCCGGAAGCATGTACTTAATGGCGGAGAAAACCGTAACCGACCAGCGGTTACGTTACCCACCCGACGGCGACGAGGAGTTCAGCAATCCTCTCGCACATAACTATCTCTGTATGGGATTCGAACCTGCGAACCCAAGCAAGAGTAGTCAGAGACGAGCGTATTCCTAATGCTTAGCACGATGAGCCACACCGCCGGAATAGATGATTCAGATTACACAGTGATGGGATTTCAAAAGTTTAGGAACGGGTTCTTTTCCATATCGAACTCACTAACAAAACCATGCACAATTTCGGGTTTGCTGATCATTACGACATTCCAAGGATTCACGCAAACCTACTGGATTCCACCGCTGCCTATTCTATATGTAGCATAATATACAAACATGCAGCCCCAGTACGTATAAATCTCTAGTGATAACGTGGACTCATGTCGTCCGGGCGTGCAAATTTTGTGATGAAACATACTGGGTGGGTGATGGGTTTTAAGGTACAATGATATGGTGAAAGAGGCCAACACTGACAAGCGGATTATTCATCATCCTGAGACAGCGATCAATTTTCTCGCCCATATTCAGTCTTCTGGACCAAATATGCTGGCGTATACGATGTTAGGCATATATATAGTTCAAAATTCGCAACGGACCACCACGAGACACCCAGTAAAACTGAAACGCTCATTGCGTAATAGTCTATTTAAGTCTAAAATTCCTTCGCAGTAAAAGTATAAAATACTTGATAACATAGTTATGGCAGAGGAAATCCCATTCATTGTGATTAATTTATATTATACGATAACTGATGTCATTATGTTCTTTCAATTTCGTCTGCGTGAGAACTTGCCACCTGGCAGAAAGTGACGTAAAATAAACCGTTTGTTATAAACGGCCATGCGTGGTGTAATGTAAATTATCGTAGAATGTTGTTTGACATCCCTTGTATCAATTTCTCATACTGTAAATATATTTGCGTGTAATATTGATGTAGTTGTTTATTTGAAAACTAGTGAAAATTTCGCCAGTATATCAGACTCTAATTGAGGTCTATTGAATTCAACTGAAGTAAGCTTACTTTTGATTAGGTAACCAACGAACGAGTAGCGGATGAAATATTCCCGATTTTTTACAATCACAACAAAATATTTGCGCATTTTACCTGTCATTCTATAAGCGTGAATTTTTTTTCTGGCGGATCCCTATTAAATACACAACTGGATAAACAGAATAGAGTGGATCGAGTAGGGTACTAGCACAAATTTACCAAAGTTACTACGTCGGCTAAATTGGAGCAACATGTTTCCATCGAAGTTTATTTGCTGGACTGTATTGTGTTTCTTATCTGTCAGAAATGGAGGTAAGGATCCAGTATACTTGAATAAGGCTATGTCGTTTGTATGATGTTCATTTTAATACAGGTGAGGATCGGCGCGGTGTAATCGACTATTTCACCGTTTTCTTAGTTCTTTCCCAAACTTTTCATATTAAAAGAAGAAGGCGAGAAGTTCTAAAGTTGTCATGAGAAAGACCAGTGGTTTTTAAACTGGGGGTAATTTGACATTCTTAGGGGGTAATTCATACGTTAATCGTCTTAAAAAATCTCTAGTGTAAGCCCCGTACTTTTTACTGGTCTGCGGAAAAGCTGGATGTTCGCATCTGGTATATGAGCATTGTTACGTCTTAATGTATTCGGTAACGCGGTTAGCAGAGACCTAATACCAAAGCTTCATTTTTGATTAAATTTCATTCAACTTATTATCGTGATTATAATATTATTTTTATGGAAGGGGTAATTGAGCTTTTAGTTATTCGATTTAGGGGTAACGATATTAAGAAAGTTTGGGAACCACTGCGATAGACAATGATATAATCAATCAGAACCTTTGGGTTAAATTTTTGCGCAGCTTCAAGTAAAAAAATAAGATTTAGTTACAATTGCACCTGCATCTTGAAACATTAAATTATTGCACCACCCGCTGTGATAGAATTGCGATTCGTTGCTAGCGGATCTACTCGCAGTAAAATAAGGCACGAAGCAATCGAAATATATTTTATGTAAGCAAAAGACTATACCAGTTATGCTAGGATATTAAAGTATTTGGATTGAAGGTTCACTATAAAAATAGAAAAATCGCCGAACTGTGCATTCCCGCCTCCATGGCCGGGGCAGAACAATTTTACTGACCGCGTTTTATTAAACATCAGAATATAGTTTCAACTCTTATATTTTTATCTGTCTTTTCGGTAATAAAAACACTGTTGACTTTTGAGTCGTTTTGCTGAAAAATTCTTGTGGGTGTTGCTGTTTGATCTGAGTCCCGTCGATAATTCGAAACAAACTTTGCTGATATTTTTATATGCTATAGTTCACGCTTAAAACTTCTCCAACATTTTTTCTTCAAATAATCCAGTTGAATCGAGAATTCTCGCCCATCTTTCCCCGGTAAAACCTTCATATCACATCAGTAAAATAGTTTCAAAATTTGACTGCAATGTTGCTCAAATTGCTGTCGCCATGTAAGTTACCTAGTGAGCGTCCAAATATTTTATCATTTCTCTCCTGTTTTTAGAATGCGACAAGATCGTTGGTGGATACGAAGCCAGACCTCATTCAGCTCCGTATATCGCACATCTTGATCGGTATTCGTCATATTTCTGCTGCGGAACTCTGATTCACGAGTCGTGGGTTTTATCGGCTGCACATTGTCATTACGAGTAAGTAGTATTGAAATATGTGACTAATAAAGACTACAATACCATGTAGTTTGCCAAGACATGGTTGTACCCGTAAAAATTGAAGAAGGTTATACGTCTACTTTTGTTCTCATTTGCTCAATAGTGGCACACTCACATAAAAATATTTTTGCGCACATTATACGAAAAACTTTTCTGAAATTTATCAGCAGGTCATTCAATACCAGGGATGTCCAATACAAAATAATTCACTATTTCGAATACATTCGAAGATAAAATCAATCAGTTTACCACACATGTCACGTCTGCAGATTGCCGCCGTATTTTAGAGCAGTAATGCTTCAATTTTTACGTGAGTCGACGCAACCATGACTTACACACGTTAAACACAATTAAATTAATACCGAAAGGCATTTTAAATGCTGGTATCGTTCTGGGATTTGAATATTTTGTCGCAACAGAAAATCATCCTAGTAAAAAGTCGACATTTTTCAACTATCATTATCAAAATCATTTGCCTAAAAGCGGGAAATAGTATAAATTATTTTTCCATAAGTAATCGGCAGTTTACCACACATTTTATGTCCGCAGATTTCTCTAGTATTCTAGTAGTAGTGCTTTCATTTTATCGTAACTCGACGCACGCGAAGGCGAGTTACGATGAACACCATTGAATTAATATCAAACACATTTTAAAAGCTCGCATCGGCCATGTATTAAATATTTCACACAACAGAAAATCGTTATCCACTGACAAAGTCGGCTATTTTAACGAATGCCGTAATTGCGACGCTTTTTTTAGAAGTCGTTGCACGAGAATTTTCGATTCCGATTCTTGACCCCCTCCGCTTTTAATAATCCTGGCTACAGCCCTGGACAGATTATTCAACGATTTTATCAACGGCTAATCAGTTATTCGTTTCAGAAGAACGAACTTAACTTTAAATTATAACTTCACAGACCAGATCAATTCAAAGTCATCATCGGCGACCACGACCGAAGCATTGTTGAAGGCACAGAACAGACAATCCAGGCAATCCTGGCTCTGAATCACGAATTATACAATCCAATGATAACAGATAATGACGTCATGATGGTAAAACTCGAGGTAAGTCTTATTATTGTCCCGTCGACTCGAGAACGTTGCCAGTTTTGAAGTAATTTTTTTCGTAAATCACCGGTGTTTGTGATCCTGAAAAAAAAAAAAACGTTATGAACTCCACTGAAACCACCAACAGCCATTGAAAATGTTTAGATTTATTGCGGTACACGACGTGCAAGTAAATGCCTTTTGATGCGGGCGAGGTTTAAGACGAGGCATGAAAATATCTGTGAAGTGGTGGATTAAACCAAAAAATTTGTGCTGAACAATAACAAGTCACAATGAAATGATGAAAAATACGAGCAATGTCAGTGTTGAAATTTTGTAAATCATCCATATTTACAAGCAATGTCATAATAAATACCTTGTATGGTCAACGTGTATAAAAATTGGGAGCCGTAGCACTCCAGGTTCCAGAGCTGCGGGAGTTGCAGTTTAATTGTTTTTACTGGAAATTGAGGGTCGAACCCCCTTTCTGGAAGTCAGCAGGACCCGCCCGTTGATACGGTCTAACTTGGCAATTAGAGATTTCAGCCCCCCATTCAAAACTACATAGCTACGGCCCTAGTACTCATATGTTACGGTTAGATTGATGCCGCACAATTCTTCGGTTAACGCCAGTGGTTCTCAACCGTTCTTTTTATTTTGCGGAGCGGTCAGATTTCAAAACATAATTCTGCGGATCGGTAAACCTTTAATTAATGTGTACTTTAAGCCTTTTAAAGTTTGTAATATATAGGTCTGAGGAATAAGGGGAAAAGATCAACTATTTTTCCTCATCTCTGCCCGGTTCTCTTTTGAAATGCTAAAAAAACCCACCCATGTTCGCTAAACTTTGTTCAGCAGATCTATAAACTGCAGCAAGTAGAGTCAGACTGTCAGCCTCTATTATACGTAACATTAGAGGTATACTCTACTTGCTGCAATTTCGTAACAGAAATTAAACGACATAGAAATGTAAAATGAATTTATTGATTCATATACACAGCATTTAAAATAAGAAACAAGAATTATTTATAATAAATACAATATTTAATCATATTTTAATTATGTTCAACACACTTCTGTTCATTTTCGCGGCACACGAGTTCCTGAGTGCGAACCCTTTGGGAACCGCTGTGTTACCCAATAAATTGTTTATTAATTTTTTTCAGAAACCAGCCATATTCAACCAGTACGTCCAACTAGCGCTTTTACCAACTTCAGAAATTGGCAGCGGAATTGAATGCTTGGCTTGTGGATGGGGGTATACGGACTACACATCTAGTACGTATAGAAATAAATTTTCCGATTTTTTTACTAGATATTAAAACCTTGAGTGTCGCTGCTCGATAATCAGTTTTGGTCCCCCACTATGGTAAACTCGTAAGATTATCTCTTTTTTTTAATATTGTATATCCGGGTGGTCCAAACCGCGGCCCGCAGGCACATTCCGTGCGGCCCACAGAACAATTTTAGCGTACAATAAATCACTGGCAGATATTTGTATTTATTGGCAGAATATTTTTGAGTTATTTACAAACTATTTCAACTGGGAATAGCTCTTTTCCTAATCCTGATGTCGGGATTCATGTTTGTCAAAATCACGGAATTCAATGTTGTATCTATAAACGTCAAAACGGTGCCAATATGGGAATGACGCCCTGTGATCGGTACGAAGAGAATGGGATTGTTTTGCGAGACAGGACCAAGTCGATGAGATGGGTCGCGACCTTAAGCTCGCGTCAAGTAACTAATTTGGAGAGAATTTTTGTGCCTTTATTTTAGTAAAATCACTCCTCTATTTCAAGTGTTGGCTATATGACAGCAGTGACGAACGCGATCCAGTTTTTTTTTTAGCTTGGTCCGGAATCCCAATTTAGACAAACCTAGTTGTTTTTTGACGATAACACAAAGCCTGCTCACGCTACAATTAGCGTTATAAAATTAGTCAAATATACCAATCCTACATACAATGAGTGTAAAAAAGGTGACCGAGGTAAACTGTGAGGCAACGCACTTCCTAACCCATAACAACGTTAGTCACAGTGTCTGGTGTGTTTTCAAGTAATATCGGTCACGAAAGTTTTTGCGGCCGCGAACCTCGCAACTTTGGACCACCCTGTTGTATATGATTGTTTTTTGCTGAATAAAAAAATACTTTACTTGACTAGTAACATTTAATCGCCAGTTATTTTACAACAATACCAGGGCCTTATGGCCCACACCAGAAAAAAAACAGTAGTCATGATAATAAAAAGAAAATTCCGCAAGAACATTGTTTATCACAGTACAACTTTACTAGAACGATCGATACAGAACGTAGTAATCAACATTCGTTGCCACCATATTCGTTCTTAGACATAATGTTCACGCTTATTAAAGATGACTGTACGAAATTCAATTAAAGTTTATATTTTTACCAGTAAAAATTCAATCATACTGAATATTCGAGAAAAAAATAAAATTTTATAGTTTATGAAATTCGACATTGTTAGTGACTCGATTAATATTTACACACCAAAAATATATTCATTTCCGTCAACTGCAAACAAATGGATATTTTGGGTCAGTTTACTTACACAGGATTAAGACATGCAAGCTATGGTCTTTGTTGGAGTTCGTCGTGGTGAGCAAGAAGGTGATTTATTACTGTTACATTTCAGATACTCTTCCAGACCGCTTACAATGTGTCGAAGTCTTTACGGTCAGTAATACAGAGTGCAACTATATGTATGGAGGAGAGGTAAAGGAGACAATGTTGTGCGCTGAAAGCGCGGGCAAAGATGCATGCAATGTAAGTCATTTTTGATTAACGTATTTCGATCATAAGGCTCGCTTTAAAAACTTTTTTTTTCAAAAATCGATCGTGCATCTTATAAGCTAGTACACCCAATGCATGCATCGGGCAAGGATGCGCCCATGTATGAATAAAAATCCAACCTAAGCAATTTATTGACAGTAACTTACGATAGTCGAATAGAGTGGTTTGCAAATCATATTTTTTCACACCGCGTATTCACACTTTCAATCTGAGCTGAGGAACCTTGGAAAAAAGAAAAAATAACGGAAACAATACCGGAGATTTTATGCATAATGAGGACTGAATAAATGGTTTCGAAATAAGCAGGGGGAGGGGTTTATTCAAAAAATGTCGGGAACCAGTGTTTTAATTAATTGATAAATTATTTCAGGGCGATTCCGGTGGACCTTTGATGTGCGGTAACCTTCTGCACGGGGTGACATCCACAGGTTTTGGTTGCGCTTATCCACATTTCCCTGGAATATACGCCAGAGTTACAGAGTTCACATCATGGATTCAGATGGTTATGGAATACAATTAATTAATAAATTGATGTATTGTAATCAGTGAAATAAATATAGAAATGATATTTTGTTGCTGTGTGAGTCATTTCGAATTAAAAAACTGGATGCAAAAAGGGAGAATAACAGAAATATATTCGAAACTTGAAAATTAGGGCGACACATGGGCATGGCGGTGGACGTCACGCTGTAGCACCGATGTGAGACGGAGATCATGCTTACGACACACAAGCCATTCCAAAAAACAAGCAAATTTTTTTACGGCATTTATTCAGGACTTACGCTCCGAATATATCCCTGTAGAAGCAGTCACTGATATCGAAGTAGCTACTCTCATTTGAAATGACCAAAATCCTTCCGGTTCGGCGCTGCCTACCCAACTAATTAGACTCTGCTTGATTTTTATCAATATCAATAAATTTTCCAACAGCAGCTCCAGTATTTGACAACTGATCGGTTCCGTTGTATATAGCTTTTTATGAGAATTTTCTCACTGGAATGACACGCGATGTAAAGAAGACTCATTTTTGCGCAAAGTTGGGCGTGACCAGTGATTATAATATGCACTTAAACAACTTTTTAGGAATATATGAGCGTTTTATGATCACATAGGTACATAAATATTAGCGGTTAAGGCGTACGACGGGCACTTTTTTCGTATGTATCGGATATATATATATAATGGAGGCGACCTCTGAGATGAGAGCTGTCTTCGTCACACCTAAGTAGAAAGTTGGGCGTGATCAGTGATTATAATTTGCACTTAAACAATTTTTTAGGAATATATGAGCGTTTTATGATCACATAGGTAATAGGTACATAAATATTAGGGGTTAAAGCGTACGACGGGCACTGTTTTCGTATGTATCGGATATATATATAATGGAGGCGACCTCTGAGATGAGAGCTGTCTTTGCACCTAAGTAGAAAGAAAGCACGTGTATTGAAAATACCTATATGAGTCTTATTATTTGCCGGGGAAAAGAAAAAATGTGCAATTTTCTCACCGTGAAACCTAGGTAAAGGGTCTGTGTATATTGTACTTGAACGAATTCGATTTGTCATTGTAGGTTAAAATCACGCACAAGTCGCACAATAAATTAGTCACTAAAGACGTATTGGTAATAGCAATAATTTTGTCTCAATTAAAGGCAAAGAATAAGATCGCCGGATGAGAACAGAAGGGGCCTAATTCACATTTTTGGAAAATTGACTTTTTTCAATATTTTGGGGTTTTGAGCCATGCTCTACAAGGTGGTGGTCTTGAAATCCTGAATTTCTCAATAATAAAAATTTTAGCTGGACTTAGGCCTAAAATATTTAAGAACAGAATGGGCCTAAGTCCAGCTAAAAATTTTATTATTGAGAAATTCAGGATTTCAAGACCACCACCTTGTAAAGCATGGCTCAAAACCCCAAAATATGGAAAAAAGATAGTCCTAAGTTCCAATATGGTGGGCATGAACATCAGAAATGAAATGTCCGAAACTTACATCCCTAAAAATTTGTTCAGTGCAACTTAGGCCTAAGTCACCTTGTTTTACCTTGCATCCAATACAAAAAATTTCAGAAGTTGTAGAGAACAGAATGGGCCAAAGTTTCATATGGGGGTAAAAAAGCAGGAAGGAATTGAAGCTGAAGTGCCAAAAAATATTGATTACAAAGATATTCTCATCCACATTAAAATAACAAGAGCTCAGGACTTTACTAAGTGTGAATATCTAGAAATTCGAAAATAAAAAAATTCCAAATTGTTTTTTGCGTTTTTCTCAAAACTCAAAATTGTGACTTAGGCCTGTTCTGTTCTCATCCGGCGAAATGTTAAATAAGATAAACAAGGAACATGCAGCGCTATACGCTGTAGTTTAGCGCGACAAGGTCTTTGGCGTAACTACAATTTGAAAACGCGTGATTCGCGCTCATTTACCGTGTCTATTTAAGATGTTTTTATATTAGTAGTAATTTCGTTTAAATTAAAGAACATCTCCAGATAGAGCTTGGCCAAATATGCAAAAAGAAAAATTTGCCTTGATATGAGCAAGATCTGGCGTTCGAGGCCGCAAATAAATCAGCCGTTAATCAGTAGGTGGTTGTCATTGATGTGGGCGCATCTGACTAATTCTAAATCTTTTCCTTCCGCCTATCTGTTAATGTTCTATCATATTTTATCTTTTGTTAGCAATGAGCCTGTCTGTTTTAAATGACTCTCTATTCTAAAATCAAAACTATAGAATATATATGCTAATTTCCTCAAATAGAACAGCGACAGCATGAATATGAACAAATCAAAAACCTAGTTGCCTTTGATAAAAATGTATTGCGTATATGAATAAATATGACCAATATAAATGCGCATATTCATTCATAATGTAACAAATTGGAATTTATGACTTTAAATAAACTTAGAATAATTATTCACAAGAAATTCTCGATATTAATTACATATACAGGATGTCCATAAAGATCAGCTCCAACTGATCGCTACTGGTATATATCTTTTTATGAGAATTTTCTCACTTGAAGGTCACGCAATGTTACGCGTGACCACTGGTTGCGACTTGACACATTTTCAGAAATATATAAACGTTTTATGACCACATAGGTACATGAATAATAGGCATATGACGGGCACTGTTTTCGTATATCTTGTATATATACGGTAATTGGAGGTGACAACTCGGATGAGAGAACGAACGTGTATTAAAAATTCACAGCACAAATTTTCTTATACAATCGCAGAGTGGAATTGCTAACCTCGTCATGTCTTGTTTCATATGTGAAGCATTAGTCTTATGTGCAATTTTTCCACCGTAAAACCAGAGAAAAAAGACGAAATTAACGTTTGGATTTGACTTGAACGAATTCGATTACTTATTTGCATAAGTCCCGTAGTCGACGCGCACAAGTCCCGTAGTCGACTGAAGACGTATTTAGATTTTTTATAAATTAAAGGCAAAGAATAAGATGTTAAATAAGATAAACAAGGAGCATGCAGCGCTATACGCTGTAGTTTGGCGCGACAAGGTCTTTGGCCTAACTACGATTTGAATGCGCGTGTGTCGCGCTCATTTAGCGTTGCCATTTAAGATGTTTCTAGATTATCAGTAATTTCGTTTAAATTAAAGAACATCTCCAGATAGAGCTTGGCCAAATATTCAAAAAGAAAAATCTGCCTTGATATGAGCAAGATCTGTCTGTTCGAGGCCGCAAATAAATCAGCCGTTAATCGGTCATGTGGTTGTCATTGATGTGGGCGCATCTGACTAATTCTAAATTTTTTCCTTCCGCCTATCTATTAATGTTCTACGTTCTACTATATTTTATCTTTTCTAGCGATGAGCCTGTCTGTTTTTAATGACTCGCTATTCTAAAATTGAAACTATAGTATGTATATATCAGGGGTGGCCAACCTGCTTTCAACCGCGATCGACTAAAATCTTCAAAAATAGCTCGCGATCGACTAAAATCTTCAAAATAGCTCGCGATCGACTGATCGGTAATAAAGTAATACGCATGAACAAATGGGTAATAAATATACAGATTACTGCACACACGCATTCAAAAATTCCACCGCTGCCAATAAGCTCGACTCTGTGTGTGCATTCTTAATTAATGAAATCGCCACAAAAATTCGTGTTTTCCACGTTTTATTCAATTTGTTTATGTAATTGTAGCGGAGTAAATATTTCATCGTTTACTTAAGATTAATTCAAATCATACAATTCAGATCTAAGGCCTGCCCAATTTTTAGTCAAAACTCAAAAGTGTTGATATTTCCTTAAAAAATATTGCCAAGTATCTATGATAAGTATCTACCATAAATGTTACATTCCTGCTAAACCTTCAGTATATAATTCGCAATTTTCTTCAAATCCGATTCTTGGATTGCATCTTAATGCTAGTGCCATCATTGCAAATAAAATTTATTACACTACTATTGGGGCGATATAATGACTTTCGCATACTGCAAAAGTTATGGTGGGATCGTTTGTCAGTCAACACCGTCAATTTTTAGAGGTATGTTAGTAAATTGACTCAACATCAGACGCGAACGACTGCTTGAGACGTGGCATATATGCTTGTTAGCCTCAAATGGAACAGCGACAGCGTGAATATGAACAAAAACAAAGACTTAGTTGCATATGATATAGATGTATTGCGTATATGAATGAATATGGCCAATATAAATGCACACATTCATTCAAACTGTAACAAATTGGAATTTAGGGCTTAAAATACACTTAGAATAATGATGCACAAGAATTCTCGATATTAATTACATATGCAGGATGTTCATAAAGTCCCTTCACAATTTAAGTTTTGTTACGAAGTCAGTCCTCAATAAATCTCAACCAGGTTCGTTATTTAATCAGTGATTGTTTAAGTATTTTAGCTTCATTCAATACATCTGTGCGGGCCAAAACAATATATGGTATCGATAAATTCCCATGAAAATTGAAAAAAAAAAATAAAAATTCATGGACATTATCATCAAATTCATGGACGTAATCATCTTAATGCGTGTTTCAATACCTGTAAAGTGTACAATCTGGAAATAGTACTGCACTCCATAAAATGAGAAATTGAAACTTTTAACTTATTGAAACGAACTAACTTCGTGTAATATATTGAATTTTCTTATCTTTCGCATATAAACTTATTCATTACTATACAATTGTGAGCTTAAATGATAAGAAATAACAAAATATTTTTTCATGAAATAGTAAATACTTTCGACAGACTATAATCTAACTTTTCAGAAAAACAAGAAGTTCAATTTATCACGTTAATTTCCATCTCGCTCGAGCATTTTCGTGGCACCAGTCATATGCATATACATATACACCAGTCATTCCGTAGTAGATAGATAATTAGGAGGAATTTGCAATTCAATACACAATATTTTAGTAACCTTTATAGTGAGTCATAAAAACATAATATTACGTGGCATTACATAAACAACCATCAATAATTCGTATTTTTCAACGAGGATAAAAAGTAATGAACTCTACATCGTTAC